TGAGACTTTCATATATTATAATCATATATTTATAATTTCACGTACAGGGGTAAGTTTGTTTGATTTATAATCAATTATTTTTAAATTTTCTAATAAAAATCAATATAATGTTGTTTGATTGATATATTTGTTGTTATACTCAATTGTATAATATAATTTATAATTGTATAAATTATTGCTTTCTTTTTTAGTAAACTTCCAAATATTAATAATGCCTCAACGCAAGCAACAAAGAAAGCATTCGACAGAAGGCACTAGTATAGTAATAAATTTAACGTTGAAAAAATTCTTGGAAACACCAGATCTAAATGAATTACAATTCCCATCTTCACACACATCTAAAGAACAAGCTTATATCTATGAACTTTCTAGGAAGAACAGTTTAATATCCATAAACAGAAGGTACAAGTTAAATAACGTTGTATTCTTTATTAGCTATATAGCTTTAATAAGATAATACAGTATAATAATGAATATCATAATAATAGATAGTGTTAAGGTTGTAAACTTTTTTAATTTACAATCGCTAATATTTTACACAAAATACTAATTGATTGTTAGCTAATTAAACTTACTGTGCTAGCATTATCTATTATTATATATAATTTAAATTCGATATATAATGGTAGATCGTGTATAAATTACTTCAAAAAATAACTTAAAGAGAGAGAGAAAGAATGATTTTTTAATTAATAGTAAAAGCATAAAGCAATTTTTAACAATATGTAAGAAAGATTTTATAATTCAAGGTAGTATAACTATCCAGCTACAAAAGCCATCGAAATGAAATATTTATGCTTTATTGCATAATTTCTCATTGAATCGTAAAGAATGTCAAGATATGTTACCTACGATGGAAAAATTATAGCCATTTAGCACAAATGGTAAGAAACAGAAAATTGAAAGAATGTAGATATGTATAAGCACACGAATTAAGAAAATTCATTTAGAGAATGAATATTATGTAGTTAATATTTATACATATGAAAATATATGGTATAGATGCTTTTTATTCTTTATAATATTCTTTTTATTATTTTTAATGATTAAAAGAATATAAAAGCTATGGGTCGCTTGAATAGTAACATCCCACAAATACCATGGTTAAAGAGTAATTTTTATGTATTGAATTTTTGTAAATCACTTCTGATCTATAATGCATAGAAAGATATTTTTTAAATGCTTTAACTACCGATCAAATAATCATAACTGGGAAAACAGGAGATGGTAAAACTACCAAAGTACCTCAATATATACTGGAGCATTGCCAGCAAAGGCATCAAATTTGTATAATTATATGCACTTAAAACTAGGAGACTTTCTGCAGTATCTGTTGCTGAAAGAGTCGCATTTGGAAAGGACAAATACATTGGACGAACATTTGGTTATTAACACTACGACGTCCAGGTGGCTCCACGTTGGTGCCATGCGAAAACTATCGCGCGAACGCCGATGGCTGTATGGTGATATTAAAAACTGTAGAACGAAAGTTAATATTGCGTATTCTATTTAACTAACAGTAAATTATAGACGTAGCAACTTTGTGTTTTCATAAAAAAACTGTGCCCTACGACAATGGCAAACGAAAAAGAAGACACAATTATACGTGATGAGTGTGTGGACATCTTGTCTGATGTTCCATCCGAATTTGAAGATTATGAGGAACTAGAAGACATTATGTTCTCAGAAAAGGAAAATGAGGCAATATCTTCGGATGAATCTGAAATATTTAGACGGAGAATTCGGCGAACACTATCGTTATCAAGTGATACTGAAGAATCAGAAGAAGATAACAGTAGAGAGTGGTCAGATTTTGATTTACCAAGAAACAATAATGCTTTCGAAGGATCTTCCGATTTTATTGTACTTCCCAGAGATGTAAACAATATCGAGGATGTTGTGGAACTATTTATAGGGAACGATCTGTTTGAATTTATTAGTACCGAAACGAATAGGTACTATGATCAAAATTTCACCAAGAGGAAGCCCGATAAAAAAAGTGCACAATTTTTCAATGTTACGACAGTCGAAATAAAAAAATGGTTTGGACTGATTATTCTTATGGGAATCGCTAAAAAACCAAGGATTGATGATTATTGGTCGACAAATCCACTTTTGGAAACACCAATATTTGGTAAAACGATGTCCCGCAATAGATTTCGTCAAATATTATCGTTTTTACATTTCGCAAATAATAGTAACATACCTGCCAATGCCGACCGACTGTTCAAAGTACAAGGTATAATTGATTATTTTACAAAAAAGTTTCAAGAAAACTTCAGCCTTGGTCAAAATATTACAATATATGAAGGTATGATACCGTGGCGTGGGCGATTAAGTTTTAAAGTTTATAACCCCTCTAAAATAACAAAGTACGGTATACTTGTCCGGATGCTGTGTGATTCCGTTACGGGATATATTTCCCGTTTCAAAATATACTCTAGCATTAAAAAACCTTTAAAGGATACAGTGATAAAACTATTGAAAAATGTTACTGGAAAATGGCATCACTTGTATATGGACAACTACTATAACAGTGTGGAACTTGCGGAAGATTTGCTTACGAAAAAAATTCGCGTTTGTGGAACGCTACGGCAGAATACATTACCGGCAAAGTTGAAAAACTGCAAACTAAATGTATTTGAAACCAAACATCAACGAAGAGGAGCAATACTCGTGCAAGTATGGAAAGCATCGAAGACGAAAATAATAAGAATAATTTCTACAATACACAATGGCAGTTTAGTTGACACAGCAAAGAAATGCAAAAAAACCAATATTACGATAAAAAAACCTGCATCGATTTTGGATTACAATAAATATATGAAGGGAGTAGATCGAGCTGATCAATTTCTGAGCTGTTATCCTATATACCGGAAAACCATAAAATGGTCAAAAAAGGTGGTGTTATACCTCTTTAATTGCGCCTTATACAACGCGTTCGTACTGCAACAACATTATAATACAGATTCCAAGAAACTCCACCTTCATGATTTTTTATTGAAAATAAGCGAATCCTGGATAAAAGATTGTTCACCTGTTGGTGAAGAGAACTTGGAGGCCCCGAGTACATCGTGTGCTTCCCGTCGTAAATCAATCAACAGACTTTCTGGCCACGTAAAGGAACACCAGCTGATACGTATATCAGAAACCGATAACCGAAAACGCAGAAGATGTCATGTGTGTTATAAAAACAAAAAAATTAAGAGAACTAATTTAATGTGTAAATCTTGTGGAGTTGCGCTTCATCTCGGAGATTGCTTTGCTTCATTTCATTTAAAACATAAATACTAAGTATCCAACAAAATATAAATTGGCAATGCTTTCGTATCAATTTGTAATTACGTTCGATCTCACAACCTAATAATGAATGACCTAAGCTTCAAAAAATGACATTGAACTATACACGAATATGTATCTATAGAGAGAAGGCATTTTGTAAATAGGATAAAAAATTTTTTATTAATCATTTAATGATCTTATCGCGCAATAATGTCAACTTTTTAAATAAAAACATTATTTATTTTGTCTCTCAGTTAAGATAAATGTATATAAACTACAAATCTAAGTTAATTACTAATCATATTTTACAAAAATAAAAGCATCAAACTTGAATGATCAAGCAAGATGAGGGTGCAATAAGATTTTCTAAATAATTAATATAAAAAAGATGAAATCTCTTACCGTAGTATCTGTTAAGGATAATCTTCCAGCACGCAATGACAAATCTGTTACACGAGATGTTCTTCTATGTTGAGAATTCCATGTATAAGCACGACGTCTTGGCACTGATGGTTCAACATCGGCATAAATTGGATATGTCAATGTGCCTGGCATTTTCTATTTTTAGTATGTGAACTTCATACAACGCATTGACTTTAACACTATTTGATTTAACCATTCCAAACTTTATTTCCTTCTTCAAACAACAAAGAAGAGATTTCATAGAAAATCTGATAAAGATAAAGATATTTATGTACTAATATATTAATTATAGTAATCAATTAAATATATTATGTAAGAAATGTGTAGAGTTCTCAGAGTCACAAGACCGACCTTATAAGATGATAAAAGCAATGTCCACATATGTTTGATCAAGAAAATATTAAAAATACAATTTTCATTACTCCTACAATGAACACGGGTAATAAACACTTTAGTTAAATTGTTAAATTACTTATGAGAAGGGACATTTACTTTTAAATAATAATAATATATAATCTCACTCTTGAAATTGCCATTAATATACAGAAGCAAGTTCGATTCTAAATGAACGGAAATTGTTAAAATCTCACGAGATAAGAGAGCTTTAAATCATTTAGCGATAAGACTTACGATCAAATGGAAAACATGCTAGCGTATTCAACTAACACACATGTATATTTATAGATGGCCATACCGTATTTAACGAATCAACAATTTCGATAAATTTAATTCTTCCTTTTGTTAAATATTTCTATTTTAAATCAAATATCTAATGTTTCTTCTTTAACAACCTTAGATTAATTATTTCTTATCGCATAATTAATCATACGAAAGTGTTTTTTAAAGAATTTTAATTGCCTTTACATTGATATTGAAATATCTTTTGAATATTAATCTTTAATCACTTTAATTATTACACGTAGATGAATTTTTTCAAATCCGTATTTTTGATTTGTATATTTTCTCGTTGCACGGTGGCGCCTAATTTCAAAATTCCCAATGAATGGTAAATACTTACTTATGATTGTACGAATTAAACGATAGCAAGAAAATGTGAAATACAATATTTTATTTGCAAAGAAAATAGAAGTTTTATTTTTATATTTTTTGATCAATCAATTCTGCTTAGTACGTCCAACGGCGGAGACACTGTTTTAAAGATTGTTTGTGAAAAATTTGTTTCATACAGTAGCGCCCTTTGAAATTGCGGTAAAAGATAGAAGCTCCTACCCCTACTATTGATTTACGCATCACGCTTAAATGGTGTTTGTGTTTCCGCACCGGCCGACTGTTGCATCTATATATGTTGTATGTGGGTACGTGTTAAATAATGTTCAAATTTTCCGATTCTCAAGGAATTTACGTGCGGCTTAACGACAAATAGAGAATAATATACGTATTTAATAAAATTTAAGATAAAAGATTTATCGACTTTACTATACTTAACTATTTATTGTATTTTTCAATAGAATTTTCTTTGTACATTTATCCATTGTTCAAAGATTAGGCATCGCTGAAATATCGAGAATTGCAAAATTGTAAATAACAATAGTTTTCTTTTCTATACAAAAAATCTTTCTTACGTTTTTCTTCTTCGTGATTCGAGTTCATATAATTATCGCTTTTACTAAACCAACAATTTGTCTTAAAAGAAAACTTTCGACTTTCAATCTGATTGTTCTTGTCAAAATTTGTCATTAAAGAATATATCGAATCGCTTGAATCGATCATCTCATTACAAGTTCCTCGTTCGATAGCATAATTTTGATTTACACAGGGACCAGGATCGAAAATAAAACCGATTGTACTGGAGGTAGCGTCTTTATTTTCTATCTTTTCATATATTTGAGGATTCTCATGTAAGCTCGATGATTTCATAAATTGGCTTCTTTCAATATTATTCGAATAATTAGAAATCGAATTACAATCTGTACATTTCGTACATTCTTTTCGGTAACAATTGTGTAATCTTTTAATAAGAGAACTGCGATCGTTCTCATCTTCATTTTCTTCTTCTCGAATATTATTAGAAAGATTTTTCAAACTGTCGAACGAACGTATTTTGCATTCTGTTTGTATGTATTTAGATTTCGAATTAGGCATGTATGTAGATCTGGATTTCGATTTGAATTTTGATCGAGATTTCGATCTAGACTTATTGTTAGATCCAGATTTGAATGTAGATCTAGATCTTAACTTGGAATTACAATTAGATTTAGATTTAGTACCAAACTGAGACTTATCGTTGGATTTGGAATTTACGTTGAGCTTAGATTTATTATATGTAGATTTGACTTTAGATTTCAACTTCATCTTGGACTTTCCTTTAGATTTACGCTTTACTGTAAATTCGTGTTTAGACTGAATCTTTGACTTCGTTTTTGAATTAGTCCTAGATATCAGTCTTTCGGATGATTTCGTGTAATCGATTAAATCCTCAGTTTCTCCATTCTTATTATATTCCTTTTTAATCGTAGAAGAAACAGTACCGCTTAATATTTCTTCGCATTTATCTTTTATTTTCGAATGATCCGTCTTCGAAGACGTATTTTTGTTGCAATTTGAAGTCAAAAGTTGGATCTTTTTACAAGTATTTTGATCCGTGGAAATTGCTTCAAGTTTGTTTACGTTGGTAGCTTTAATTTTCTGCGACGACGTTAAAGCTTTGTTACGACGATTTAAGTAGGAATTGGATGTTACAGGAGAAAGTTTTCCAGAATCAATGAATTTCGATTGTTCAGAAATATCAGCATACTGACCATTATCCTCTACAATAAGTTCTTTATGTTTCATAGAAAAATCGAGAATTTTCTCTTTGACATGATCGTTACCACAAATCTTTCCGATTTTCTCCTTCATACAATTCATTTCCTCGGCATTCCTTCTTGTTTTCTTTCGATCGTTTTTCCGCGCATTTTGAATGCATCCGTATTCTTTAAGACAACTGAAATTTAAATCGTCTTGTTTCGAAGTCAATCTCGAGGCTGGTATCGTTGATTGATTTTCATCATTGTATTTACCTTGAAAACGATGATTCAGCTCGTACGTGTTATTAATAAACGCATAGTCTTTACGACCGTCTAAACAATGCGTTGATGTATTTATTCTATTTTCCGTTTCTACCTTGAAATAAGGATAATTACAACGAGAACATATTAGCCTCAATTCTTTTGCACTCGCTCCCTGCATCGTCAATTCCGTTTGAATCATAACATTTTCTCGAACAGGCTTTTTGTTTCTTTCTTCAAAACATTGGGATGACGAATGGCTCGTAATTTTTGTACTTTCTAGCATTTTTCTTCTACGACGATCACGTACAGATTCGTGACATGGATATCTGGCTATCTGTGTTTTTAAAAAATACGCTTTGCAGGGTGCACAGTAATTGTCAACAACGCGATTGGTTGACAATTTATCAGATAATTCTTTCTCGATTTTAATAGAAATATCATTTTTCGTGGCTTGTTTACAATGACAGGATGTAACGTGATTCGAAAAATATTGATTTTCATGTTCGAACAAAATATTTGGGTCCCTTGTACGACCCCATCTTTCCTTAAGGGATTTATATGTTTTTCTTCCTAATATAGATTTTCGAGCAATTTTCAATAAAGTTTGAAAAGAAGAATCTTTACATGATACGCGGTTAAACCTATCTAGAAAAGTTTGCGTGCCAACATTCATGGACGAGTGAAAGTATATTTGATTAGACCTTGCGTCCTTGGTTTTATTGGCCAAATTATCCTCTTTTTTATCACCTTTGCTTGATAATAACTTGTCTTTGGAATCTACATAAATACCACCACCTGACTTTCTCCCTAGTGAATTATTTTTAAAATGCTTTTCACGATTCCTTATAATAAGGACTTTTTCGTCGTGCTCTTTGGGTTGTTTCGATGAAGATTTCGTACTTTTTATAGTCTTCTCTTTATTTGTAACTATCAAATTTGAAAATGGCGGGACATTAGAGGAGATCAAATTTTTTGGCGTAATATTTTTTTCCAAACAATTGGATAAAGATTTGGAACGTGGTAAGGCTTGAAAATTGTGACATTTTGGTTGTTTCGATGAACACTTTAAGCAAGGTTTTAGAATATTAGGGGAATCCCTATCAGGGTCTGGAATACCTTGAATCAAAGGCAGACCCATTTTTTTCCAAACTGTTTTTGTTATCCAAAATCTCATGCAACGCGATACGCAAGAACTTTTTAATGCTTGACTATATTTATCGTTATTGCAATATCCTTTTATTGCTAAACATTCTGTCCAAGGATCGGGTATACCTCCATAAGTTTTTTTCATATATTTCGTCGCATCGCAGCTATACTCACCGAAAGAACAACTAACGAAGGGCGAGATCTTTAGCAATTTCGGTGAATAAAATGGACCGCGTACTACTTCACGTATTTTCATTGGATTTGTACCATTTAATTGTTTAGGTGAAACCCATTCTTGTTTCCATCCTGTATGAATCTTGTACTCGTCGCATTTTTTTATATCTTCTACATTTTGTACACCTGCTTTGTCGATCTTTTTCTTAAAACTAGACTGATATTCAGAGTTCATAGTTTTAGAAAAGAACCTCTTAAATGTATTAATTCACTGTGTACACATTAAAAATGACATACTTTTTGTAGGTTGTTTCGATTTACGTAGAAATCCGAATGTATAATGTGTTACACAGCGATTTTTTTCATGCGTATTTATTGAAAATATTTATTGTACTTTTAAAAAACTTCACCGCACTTATATGAAACTTTACACCGCTAGGTAGCGCGCAGATCGTAACTTTCAGTAATTCGATATACTTTCTAATCTTCATAGTTACAATGTAAATGGTTACCGGGATTTCGTATAATTGTGCAATGGGAAGCAATCGAAAGAGTGTTTAACGATAAAATGTCTTTGTTAAGCTCTCTGCCCAAAACCCTTAATGGGCTCTCCAAAACTGTTTCTCGTAGCGTTCCGGCTTTATCCTACCATCCAAATGTAAGTATTTCTCTAATTGTAACCTGTCGTGATACTGTTTCCAATTGTTTATTTTAGTTCTAATTGATCTGTGTTTATATATACATAACGCATGTATTTTTGGCTTTTGTATAATTCTCATGAAACTCTAAAGTAAGCTAAGGTTAAAATTATGCATTACTTTGTTATTCCTTTTCTTATAATGCTTATTGCTGCAAATTTCATAACTCTTTCAATTAGATAAGTCAAGCCAGTTTATAGGAATGCGTGTGTTTTTGAATATACATACAAGCTACGTATGATATGCAGCAGACGTATTTGTTATACTTTAACCTACTGTCATACTCAATATTTACTTATTAACCCTTATCGGTCGTTTATCACCTATCACGTGACAACGATACTTTGGCAATGTGGTCGTAAGTCACGTGAGAGCTAACAAGATGAAATATGTTAAAACTCACTTTCTGTAAAATGAAGGTACGATTTTCTTTTAGTTAAGCATCCGTAACAGAGCAATTGATATCTCCAGTTATATAGCACTGCCTTTTCTAATTAATTTTTAATATATTGAGCCAAAAAATGAATAAAGAAAATGAAACAATTTACAACTAAATAAAAATCATGTAAAAAAAGCTGACGACCGATAAGGATATTAATATGTGTCTTTATTTTTAATGTTATTATTATATGCTTGTATTTGTAATTAATATCAAAATAAGAATTCTTACTCATAATTGTTTTATTTACTTGTATACAGGTGATAGATCATTACGAGAATCCTAGAAATGTAGGCTCGTTGGACAAAAATGATACACGAGTAGGCACAGGTCTTGTAGGTGCTCCAGCTTGTGGTGATGTTATGAAACTGCAGATCAAAGTAGATAAAAATGGAAAAATTATTGATGCTAAATTCAAAACCTTTGGATGTGGTTCGGCTATCGCTTCTAGCTCTTTAGCTACTGAATGGGTGAAAGGAAAAACTGTATGTTGCCTACATTTCTGTTACTTTCCATAATTAAAAAATATTATATATCATTAAGCCAATGATTTTGTTTTAGGTCGATGAAGCTTTGAAATTAAAGAATACAGATATAGCGAAGGAACTTTGTTTACCACCAGTCAAGCTACACTGTTCGAGTAAGTAAGCATATTCTCTTCTTTAATTTTCAAAAATATGTATAATAGAAATAACAAGAATATTTTTATAAAAGATAATACAAGTACTTTACAAAATGATACCAAGTAATTATATGGTTGTATATTTTATAGTGCTTGCAGAAGATGCGATTAAGGCTGCTTTATCAGATTACCGTATCAAGCAACAAAGTAAGGCAAATTCCGCTGATGATAGCAATAGCGCAGAGGTAAAAGCTTAAATGAATCTCTTTCCAAAATTATAGTATAAAAAAATAATAAAAGTACAATGATTTTGTGTTACCGTGGACGCAATTTCATTAGATAGGATAAGTTATCGCATGTATTTTTACATATATATTATTTTATGATGATTATAAAGTCATAAAAAAAACATATATTCTCTTTATAGCAACTATATAAAGTTGCTTGGTGATAAATATATATAGGATAGATTAAAGATATATTATTTTACTTCTATGTAAAAACGAATAAATTCGATCATTTAAAACTAACTACGCGAATTTTTTTATTCTGTGAAATTTTTCTCAGATATACGAATAAAAATGGACGAACAATATACGTTTTATATAAATGTCAGCGACAATTATAAATTTAAGATACTATACAATATCTGCATTATATAACAAAGTTGTAAGAAGAGCAAAAGACGATTCTTTCGTAAGCGGAAGTAACGAGCACAAATGATACTTATGTTTTTCGCGTAACGTAATATTTACGACGGTAGAAAGGAAAGTCTGAGGGTATGATGAACTAACGTCAATTGCGTTCAATATGTTGACGAAAACATTTCCATTGCAGTCTCATCGCTAGGCAAAACTATATTGCGTCATCTAAATGACGCAATAAACGACGGCCATTGACGCGGTCGTTATCAATAGAAGGCGCAACCTGAATTGTTCATAGGATATTTTATTAAACGTTATACGTTGTTAATTAAATATCGAATTATAATAGTTTTTTACCAGTTGTCTATAGACAATTCGTTTTAACACGCAATATAAAAAACTTATTTCAAATATTATCCGAGTAACCTAATTGATATTGCTTCGAGGTATTTATTGGGTATTGAAAATATCGTTAAACGTAATTAACGATAATATTTTGTAAATATTATCTTTGTGTTGTTAGATAATTTAGAGAAATGTAATAGCTCTTTCCATACAAAGAATTTCAATTTATAGGCAAATGATGAGTCACGTAAGCAGCAATTAAATGAAATAGTGTTAATATAGTCTTTGGACTTAGAAAGATATTTTGTATATTATAAATAGAAGTATATAGTTATATATTATAGAAGAGCAAGTAAACACCTACTCGCTTTTTTTTCTCTCTCTCTCTCTCTCTCTCTCTCTCTCTCTCTCTCTCTCTCTCTCTCTCCTTCTATGATAACTTAAATAATAGAATTATTAGGGAGAAAAAAATATTATTAATAACAAACATTTCTTGTATATACAAAGCACATTCTCTTTCAAAGTTTCTATCGACATAGTTCATTCAACAAATGTTATCGCGCAACATTAATTGGTGCTTAATAAGAATGAATTTAAATTGACTCATGTTCGCTCGTTGTTAACAATTGTGTGTATTTCAAGTCACAAGTAGAGCAATTCGTTTGTCAAACTTTTCTTTTTGCTTTTCCATTATATAAATGCTTTCGAACATTCTAGACAATAATCATAGCAGAAATTAATTTTTACGTAGAATCGTATTGTTCTTTTCTCTTATTTTTCCAAGATAGAAATATCTTCTATGATATTTTTATCTTTCCAGCTATCTCAAAGTGTGAATTATCGTTTCAAGCACTGTCTTCAAACGTTTCAACTAATTAACAAAAACTAACAACGGCGATAACGTTTATATAGGGTAACTTGTATAACGCGATCAATTTGAACATTTTCAAGGTTGCTATTTTCGTCTTCTTCTTTATCTTCATTATTTTTTTCTTTTATCCTTTTATTCGTTTCATAAGAAAAAGTTTAGGCAGTTTATCTTGTATTTTTTGAGATTTAATTGAAAGATTTCTTCTTGTGTTAATCGGTACATAACATTCTACTTGAATTACATTAGGAAAAACTTAAAAAATAAAAGAACTATATTTCATAGAGCACAAATGTGCATTTAATTAGATCACATGGAATCCATAATTCATATACGCGTATGATTTTATATTTCGAGATATCGAATATCTCTCAGCACACTTATCGCAGTTTGGTAGATCTAGTACAAATACTTCATAACACGCGTAAAGCGGATATCGGCATAGTTCGTCGAAGATGTTCTATATTGCTAATGATAAAAGGTGTGTACGCGCTTACAAATATATCGGTTACTCATAAAATGAATTATTCGATTTCTCAATTACCACAGTAAAATACTTTTTTCCTTTCCTTTTTCTTTTTTTTTACAATTCTCTTTTTTTTTACTTGCCTAACTATTTAAACTTACGTGTTACGTTTAACAATTGAATAGATAATGATTTAATTTATATCTCATTTAAATGAAATTTTAAGAAAATATTCGATTTTATTTTTAATTAAAATAAAAGANTATATATATATATATATATATATATATATATATATATATATTTTGTAAATGATAAATTTGAATTCGCTAGAGACATGGATGATTAAAACGGTATTATAATAAGTTGTAAAGTCGTATGATTGTAGTTGATTGTGAAACAACAGGGGCGTCTTATCATATGTCAATTGCTGCATTTCTTTTTATACGGATTCTTCAACGATCACTTTTGTGAAATTGTCCCTTTGGAAAACGTAGCTTAACGTACATTCGATTTGAAACCTTCTGCTATGGTAATAAGATTTATCGATGGGATACGTTATCTTGTTGCCGTGGTGCCTATTGCGTTTAATAATACTCGACCACTCCAAAAATAGATTCTTCAAATTCTAACTTACAAGATGGCTCACACAAAGCATTAGAAATTGTAATTGCATTAGTACCATTAAATAGCGATTTAAAATTAATTCTATATTCTCATATTATGTGGTAAGATTGTTCAAGAAAAAAACTTTTATGTTAAAATTTTGTTTTCAATCAAAAAAATGTTAATAATTTCCTTAATTGAAATTTAATTAAACGTTGTTTTAAAAAATGGCGGAATTTTTTACGAGCGCAAAAAAGATCGAGTAACACTTTAGACAGATCACCCGGTATGTAGAATACAACAGATCAATAACACATTAATACAAATTACGACAAAGAGATTGGAATTTAAAATGAAACAAAAATTTCATTATTATTTTTGTTTATTTCGATAAAAAGGAAATTAAAGAACACGCGTGAGAATGCACGAAAATGATGGAAGGGAATTCAACTATGCACAAAGAAATCTTTGTTTTTCTATCAATAAAATTATCGAGTTAAGGCTTTTAGAGCAGCACGTAATAACCTTGAGTAATAACCACTTGATTTTCTTTATCTTTTTTATGATAAAAAATACGTTACATCGTTAAACACGTCAATTGATCGTCAATCGATACAATCTGTTCGACCACATTTTCCAACTGATGAAGAAAATAGCTGTAGAGCTAATAAAACAATATCGCATTTGTAAAAATATTTTCTGATTGTGTATTTATTTACCAAGAAGAAAATCATAAGAAATTTCCTCGGAAGATCACGGTCGAAATCGATATTTTTCTAACATATACGGGTACGTCTATCGTGTACCTTGATTTTAAGTAGAACACGCCGATCATGGCAGTAAATATTAAAGTTCACCGAGCGTAAAGAGGGAAGAAAAAAAAAGAATAACGAAGTAACTTGCGTATTTCCAGCACGTGCTTCTGACAAATTTTCCATTCTCTCTTTTCGCAGTGTTTCTTGTGCAAAACCCAAAGGAGGAGTGGGAGAAATCGACGAGACTGACGCTGCTCGACACGTGAGAGTTTATCAATCCGCGGGTTTTATCCCCCTCCCCCCTTAAGGGGTCGGGGTGGTGAAGGAAAAGGTAGAGAGAAAAAGAAAGGTTAGGAACTATTCGAAATGTGATACATAGGGAAGAGACGAAACATTTTGCAACAAAGGATAGGATAGGAGAGAAAGAGAGAGAAAGAAAGAAAAAAAGAAAAAAGAAAAAAAAAGGATAGAAAGACAAATAGATATGTAAACTCGTGCATACTCGTGTGGTTCGGTTACAAAGCGCGCGTGCTGGAGTATGAAGGAGTGGGGATAACGACTGGATCGCTCAGTAGAAGTGGGGCGGAGCAGGATAAGCGGGTAGGGAGGTCTGCGTGGTAGACAGCTGATCAGTCCGTTCCCGTCGCACGATCGAGTGAAAGGTTTAGTTGCTGGATCCTCTTTTGCAAAGAAACTCTCATGTTTCTCTCGTTAAGCTACGTTATGACAAGGGTACTTCTGTTTTAAAATTCTCGTCTACATGGTATCGTCGTCGCTCTTTATGCCATTTGTAATAAACTCGAATTGGGGAATAAAAGGTGCATCAGTTTGTTGTCGTGGTAAGCGTCGTATCGAGCTCTTGTTGGCGTCATCAGGTCAATTACACCGTGCGTGTTCTTCTCTTTTTTTTCTTATTCTTCTTTGTCAAAGAGACTCGTGGAAGAAGGTGAAGTCTATGACCGGACGAAACGAATGTTTACGTTCCTATCGAGGAAGAAAGTGGTGTGAGAACAGTGGTAGAACGTGTTCTACGTTCGCTTTCATGAGGTTCGAGAAAAGAGAAGAGGAGGACGCGAGGGCGGATTATACGATTTGCGAGCATTGATAATTGTATTGTCCCGTAGTGACAGAACTCCATACATAACAAAACACCTACACATTCATGTGTAAGCGTATATACTAGTTTGGTGCAGTTACTCCCCCCGTTAACATCCTTGCTATTTTATTTTCCTTCTCTTCATTTATCTATTACTTGTTACAACGTCGTTTTTGTTGACACGTTTAGTCATCCTATATTGATAGAGGTTTTACTAGCAGCAATCGTGTTTTTTTATATCTGTATGCGGTGTATATCGGCGGTAAGTACAAAGTTTAAAATTCATGACAATGCAACGAGTTCAAGATCAAGACAATGGGATCAACATCAAGTTTGGATCAAACAAGTCCAGAAAGGGAGATTATAAATTGGTTTCACAAGACGGAACAAAGGAAAAAAAAAACAATTATAATGGGACCAACAAACACGGTATGTATTACTTTTTTCTTCGTTTTGCTTTTTTATCTTTCTCGGTCTTTTTTGTCACGCGCGTGTACAGTTTTTCATTGTTGGATCGTCAGCGTACTTGGCGGGAAATATGTTATTTTTGAATCTAAGGAGAAAAACAGTCATGTTATACGAACATATGGTGCGTGATTATTTTTTGCTCGTATTTAGTTACTAAAAATAATGTTCTTCCTTGAAAGAAGTTGGTCATTTACGTGATATATTAAACATATCCCGTAAATTTCTATCGTAATCGCATTATTGATCTCTCTCGCTCGTATACAAATTTATTATTCACGAATATGAAAGTAAATTTATGTGTTAAGTTTTATCTATTACAAGTTAGTTTCTCTTGTCGCTAAATGTTATTTATACAAAATGTAATTATTATATATTATATAATTATATAATTGTAAATTTTTACTAATTATTTTTATAAAAATTAAAGAAATGCCTTTGTTTGAATGCTTTTCATAATTTGTTTAAAGATGTGACAACGGAAGAAGAATTAGTACCCCCGGATGGAGGCTGGGGATGGCTGGTACTTTTGGCATCGGTTCTTGTCAATGTCCTTATTCCAGGAATGGTTAAATCTTTTGGGGTTTTATTCGTTGAATTTCGTAAAGTATTTGATGCATCTCCTGCTGCAGCCGCTTGGATTCCTGCCTTATGTTATTTCCTCTACAGTTCTCTTGGTAAAATATCATTTGAATATTTATCTAACTAAACTTAAAGAATCATTCAAATTATATATATGAATAAGTTAATTTTATCTATGTGAGTTAAATGTTAAATATTATTTTTAGGACCATTGTCTAGCATACTTTCAGTTAAGTACTCATATCGAACAGTTTCATTATTAGGTGGTACATCTGCAGCAGTGGGAATGATGATAAGTTATTTTGCAAACTCTGTTGGCTTTTTGTGCGTTAGGTAATTGGGTAATTTTGGTATTCTAAATATTTCTAATGATATCAAATGAATAATTTTAAAATGGAAATAATACTTTTAGTTTTGGAGTATTGGTAGGAACAGGAGCAGGATTGGCTTTCCCTCCAACAGTATACATTGTAACATCCTATTTTGTACGACTACGAGGACTAGCCAATGGTTTGTGCATCTCAGGGAGCGCTTTAGGTTCTATATTTCTTCCACCGCTTCTCGGGCTTCTTTTACAAGAGTATGGTTACAGGTAGATATACCCTTAGTAAAGTCATAATAATTTTAGACTTAATTTTTTTATATGATAGCACAATGTCTACGTCGAGTACCTTGTTCTGTAAATTATTGAGGTTGGTTTTGTATAGATAAAAAAAAATTTTATCTAAAGGATTTCTTTTGGAAAGTATAATTGACGCTCAAAAATTTACAGAATATTAGTACTATTTACTTATTACAGTAAAGTGTATTTGAATGTGATTGTGTATATAAGTATATAGTGTTTGATATTTAAACATTTATTAATTTAAATTAATATATTGAGGTGAGTACATTGTTGTAATATTGTACTATTTATTTACTTTTATACTTACATAATTTTCAAGTACATCAAACATAAACTTCATCCTTTTTTCATTTATATGATAAATATGTCCGCATTTAAATATAATTAACAATAAGTTTAATAAATACTTTATATATAGATATTTCAGGAGAAAAAATATATTTTTTAAATGTGAGTATGGATCATATTAAATAATGCAGTCTATCTATTATTTCGTTATTTTTTTTGTTACAGACAACAGTGTGTAAAAATACAGAAAGAAGTAATACGAAAATTATTATGATGCGTATGATCTTAATTTTCTAATGTTTTCTAATGTACATATTTTTACAGATTTATACATATATATATATCTATACAATGAAATTAATTAAATATTCTAAATTTTATATATTAATAATTTTAAATTTATATTCTTTATATAATGTCGATATAATTTCTTGTGATTACATAAGTATAAATTTAATTATTGAAAATATAATGACAGTATTTTAATTGTAGATTAATTCAATGCATGGTATTTATAGTATTTGTGTGAGATATAATATTTCATTACATATAAATGAGACATTAGATATTGTTATGTATATGCGTGCGTGCGTGTGTATTATGATTTTCAGATATATATTATTAATATTAAAAATGATTACACTCATTTAATGGATATTTATCTTTTTACTCCTATAAGTTATTATATTCCTATTAAATATCGTTTATTATCTTTTGAAAATTAATAGAAAAAATTACATTATTATTATATTAAGATATATTTATAATAAGTGCCATTTGATCTCAATTATTGCGTAATATTCCAATTTAGATATTTAATTCATGCACTTTTGTCTTCTTCTTGAATTGTTAATAATATTATTATAAAAATGTTCACCTTTTAGTTTGATAATTACAGTATAATTAAATAATGCAACTTTGCTTTCTTACAGAGGTGCAGTATTAATAATGGGAGCGCTTACTTTAAACGTGTGGGCTTGTGCTTTGTTATACGATCCAGTGGAAAAACACATGATTCCTGCACGACCATCACACAATTCGAAAGATCATAAAAGCGTAGAAAGTACATCGATTACTATTACTAGTCCTGAAGACGAAAGTAAACAAAATAATTTGATTTCTTCCAATTCGAGCTGTGAAAAAGCTTCGCCTATAGTGCCAAAAAGCGCGTCTAGCGTTGCATTGGAAAATTATAAAAATACTCCCGTTCAAGGAAGAACTAGAAAAATTAGTATGCCAACTGGCCGTGAAATAACTGGGCAAATGCATAGTACACCAGCCTTACACGCAGTACCTGAAAGAGGAGCTGAAACAGGAAAATTGATAAAACGTAAATCAACCACTCAATCTCCCAGTACTTCATCATTTTATTATATTAGTACTCCCCATCACGGCAGCACGTTGTCTGCTTTACATCCTGTCCATGCATCTACATTAACACTGAATGCAATATCTAGTACGTTTACAAGGAAAGGCTCTGATCGTGCACCAAAAGAGGACAAAAAGCCGGAAAATAAATTCTTTGATTTTAGCTTATTAAAAGATTCTATGTATCTCGTTATATTGATCTCGAATTCAACAAATGCCGTTAGTTATACAAATTTTGTCATATATTTGCCAGCTTATGCAGATTCGTTAGGGTTTGACAAAAGTATGGGTCCACTTCTTCTATCGATCGTATCGATTTTAGATCTCATTGGACGAATCGGTGGATCCGCATTATCCGATATGAAATTAATGCCGAAACATTGGTATTTCGTTGGTGGCTTATTTGCTTCAGGAGTTTCCTTAACAATATTACCAACAGCGACTACTTATACCTTATTATCTGTATATTGTGGAATATTCGGATTAGCTTCTGGGATATATGTCGGAGTTACCGCGGTTATAATGGCTGATATGCTTGGCACTGAGAAACTTACTTCATCCTATGGTATTTCTTTATTTGTTAATGGAATTTTACAGCTTATAGGCCCGCCAATTTGTGGTGTGGTTTATCAAGAAATTGAACAATACGGTTCCATTTTTAGTGTCTTGGGTATCATTTTAGTTGTAGGTTCAATGCTATGGGGTTTTGTTCCTTTCATTAAAAAAAAGCAAAAAGGATCAGAAGCTAACGGCCCGATAGACAAATTATAGTAATCTAAATTTTTTACTAATATATTGAACAATTTATTCGAGTAAAAATTGTATACGATATCGATCGTAACATCCTTGTTAGGAACATTACCATTTAACTTGAAAAATTGGCACAAAATCGCAAAACTAATATTTATATATATATATATAAAAAGAAGAAACAAAAATTTATAGATAATTCTTTAGCACTGTGATGCTGTATATATTTTACACGCACATTTACTATTCAATTATTTAAGAGAAGTATTATAAAAATTTAGGAAAACTTTTTGAAGACACTAAGTCTTTCTTTTTTCACAAAGAAACAATTAAAAACCTTGCCTTGCACATAGAATTATTGCTCCTTGAAAGTAAGAATTTCAATTATAAATAATAATTATAGATATACATCATTACGCGTTCTCGCGTATTGTTATTATGTGTGTGTGTATGTATGTGCGCGCGCGTGTTTTATTTTTATTTAGTACTTAATATAAAGTAATGAAGAGTTGGTGCTATTTATGTTAAATGGATAAATACATTTTGTTAAATATTTTATTTTTTAAGATCTTTTGGATTTTTATTCATTTTTCATATCATTTCATAATAGAAAACCACATGTATCGGGATTCATTTTATATTATTGTTACTTAATATTTTCAGCAATTATAGTTGAAAACAACAAAGATTTATGACATGGAGTAATTGAAATGATTTAATTATAATATTAATATTCTGTTTTTACTATTTTAATTCGTCTAAATCACCGAAAATATGCCTTACTACGCGGTAGATTCTAAGCACACTTTCTAATTAATAATGAATATATTAAGTTTATATAGGTCTGTACACAAATGTAAAATAAACAGTAATGTAACAGATTTATAATTGTAATGAACATTCAAGTACTTTTTGTATAAATGAGTACTTGGTTATTATACGTAAAAATATACACATGAATAATATATATATATATATATGGGAGTATATATATATACTCCATCTTTATAAGAATAATATAACTATGGATATGTAACGAAAAATGACTTTATTGACGAAATATTGCAATATAACACTTTTCATCGCAATCAACTTGTCAATTATCTACAGCTTAGTACTGAATATTATGTATTCACGTATGATTCTGGTATTTAACAGAACAAATTTTCGAATATATAATAATCGAACAAATTATTTCTTATTCATTACTTTACCAAGTATTTATTTTTTTGTTTGTTCTGGTACTACATCTTCAATAGCTGGTGCTGTGTCTCTAAAGTTTGGAAATTGTTCCCAAGGTGCGGATAAATCAAACTTTCGAAATTCTTGCGTTAATTCCAATGGTTCTGCTACTACCCTCTTTTTCTCATCGTCGTACCGAACCTAAAGATAGCAATTTATTAAGGTTTATAAAATGATGTAGAACGAAGCATCATTTACATTTAATATCTAAACGCATTACCTCCATGTATCCACTCAATGGAAAATCTTTTCTGAGTGGATGTCCTTCAAAACCATAATCTGTTAGAATTCTACGGAGATCAGGATGACGATTGAAATAAACACCAAACATATCCCATATTTCACGCTCGTACCATTCAGCGCCTTTGAATTCTTCGGTTATCGAATCAAGTGGGGATAATTCATCCGTGTATGTTTTTACTCTAATACGAGAGTTATATACAATTGATAGAAAGTGATAGACAACCTAAAGTAAGTTGGAAACAAATATATTTCTATTTAATTGATGGTAATTTTGTGTGTGTGTAACTAGAAAAACAATTGTCGTATGACTTACTTCAAATCTGTATTGTCTATTAGGTACATCCAATGCGGTGATATCAACTATATTATTAAATTGTGCATTATGATGACATCTTAAAAATGCTACTGTTGGAAAAATTCCATAAGGTGTAATCAAGAGTTCAAGTTCATCCTTATTAACTATTTGAATCTTTTGTATGTACTTTGGTAAGCATTCAGAAACATAGCACCCAAATTCTTTTAAACGGTCAACATCAACATAAGGATTAGGTTTGCGTACAGTAGCTATAAACACAAATGTCTATGATTAGTTTAATATCACAATTAATGATCAATAACAAAATCTTTGTGCGTAATTAAAGAATAGGCAATATTGAGTATATATTGAAGTATTATATGTTATAATTATGCAATGAATTATTTGATAAAATACAAATGCATTGAGAATAATTTGCAATAAAAGAGAGTGATTAATAAAAGAGAGCAATTAAACTTACGTCGAGTTTCTGCTTTTTCTGTTGCTTCTGTTACTTCTGTACTATTATATCGTATCAATGAAAAAGGTTGCACATAACCTAAGATCAAAAAATGAATCGTTATATAATTTAACTTGATATTTAATTATATTGAATAGTAATAAATTACGTTTAGGAACATTCGAAGACAAGTTTTGCGATAATTTCCAACAATTTCTTAGCAACGATGTCATGTTAAAAATATGTAATTTCAATATAAGATCCTAACTGTACATACGACCGAACGTCACTGAGCACTGGTAGCACCTACTGACACTCGTAGCAAGTAGGTGACACCTTTGTCTCATCATATAAGCCTTTTTAATCCTTATTTATTTCTAATAACAATTAGAAAAATTGTTTTCTTTATTTTAATGACAAATACAAAAGAACAAACATTACATAATTTTTATTATGATATTAAAAAATGAAAACTAATGTTATAACAATTTCTAGTATGATTATATTTGTTGTTTATATATAATTATATTTTAATATGTTATTTTATAATAATATTTGTTGCTGCCAATATAGTTGTCAGCTGTGCTGTATATTTTTTAAAGCATTGCGTTGTTCCAATGATTGTATTTCTACAAGAATACTTGCTACCGCATGTCTAAAACGATGAAATTGTGCTAAAGAGAGTTCAAATGAATAGGTTTCTCCAGTATCAAATATACATTCCAATATAATACATGGTTCTAGCACTCTACTTAAAACACTGAAAACAAAAGATACAAAGTATGTTAGTCAAACGGTATAGAAAAATGATAGGTCAGAAATTAAATTAATAATTAAAATATTTCAACACACTTTGATGAAATAACAACGTCTATACGCCATTTGCATGATATCAAACGTGGAAAAAACTTGGTTTTTTTCATTAAACCTGTAAGTAAGTCCGCTTTCTTTTGACCGGATACAACGGTATATAAATCCTCAATGCAATCCAAAGGAAGTCTAAATAAATACAATATTAAAGTGGTAATTAATAAAAATAATACATATTACCAATAATTTTTACATAGGAAACATATGTATATTTACTTTAATTCTTCTAAAGTTTGCTTAAATTCTGCTGGTTTGACAGAACACGATACATATTTAAGATACGTTTTTAAAATAATAAAAACAGCTGAAAAATATTCATCTACATCTTCCAAAGGTATATTATATTTTTGACTGATTCTCTCTAGAATACCTCCTTCTATATGTTCTTGTTCTATCGCTTTGACGGCGACTTCAATCAAATAAATAAATATATATTAGTTACAATTAATATTACAGATAAAACAATATTAATAATCTTACTTTGTATCAAAGGTCGAACAAATGTTTTTTTCAGTTCTGCCAGATGTTTCGTTTTATTTCCTAAAGCTGTTAAAAGTTGAGTTTGATATAGAGTTGCCATTTTTGAGAAGAAATCAAATTGTTTATTATTAATTAGTTGTAAACATTGATTATATCATTTTTAATTAATAGCGTTAAGACGATTGTGTTGTTATATAAAGTTTATATCATTTCTCTGGTTTTATATACTATAATATGTTTTTCACGATATAAAGTTTACAATTTATTTATATTTTGCTTTTTTATTTGACAGTAATAATTCTCATTGTCAGATCATATGATATTTGTCTACTCAAGTAATCATCAATGACATTATCTTTAGTCTATCTTCGCGTTTAATCAATGATCAGACTAAATTGTTTTCATATTTATGCCGACAGATGTCGATTAAAGTGTTTTTCAAACGATGTCAGTTTGGATCTACTTCCGATCTTACGAACGATCAGAATGAAGGAAATTTTGATAATAAGTGGATAAAATTATAACGACATAATTTTTTAATTATATTTCTATAAGAACCTAATCGTGTTGTTCAAAGGTATACAATAATCAATATTATAACATATCGTATATTTTTTCATATTTAACGAGTGCAGACTTTAACGAGTTAGCAGAGAAATTGAAAACTGATATCGAAGGACGAAAGAAAGATAAAAAAAAGTGTGAAGACGGATAAAAGAAAATAACGATCTTACAATAATGTAAACTTCATTTCCGTCTGGCTTTCGAATCGAATCGTTGCCTTGATTTTTTTTTACGTCAGTCGAACATACGTAAATAAACGGGAAATATTGAAGGAAAATTGTTTTTTTCTAACGTAGCTGAAGTTCAATCCGAGTCCTATGATAATCGAGGCGCGTAACATTCAAATTGACGTCATTCTATTCGAAGATGATCGGTCTCTCTCTTTCTCTTATCCACTTTGTTCTGATTGGAGGATTAGAAGGCTAATATTTAGAGAACGTTCGTCGATTCGTCGAGGTTTTTAGCCATAGGCGAGGAATCGTTCGGTTATTCGAATATCTGACAAAAATAAACGACCTAGGCACAGTTGGCTTCGTCAATTGCAGACGTTAGGAGTCCGCTGACCCGCTAAATTTTTATGATTCCCATCGAAAACAGAGAGGGAAAAAAAGCTTACGCTATACTCGCATGTCATCTCGAAATAACACCTTTGCTTTATCGATTACTCCAGCCAGTAATACATACTCGCATTCAAATCAACCGATATTTCTTGGTAGGAAAAAAGTATAGAAAATAAATTCGTTTAATTTTGAGATTATTTCGAGGTGATTCCGCGGAAAGGAACGAAGAAACGACGTAACGATGGGGCACTGCAACGTCCTTTTCAGATTTATTTCCGGAGGGGTTGTGGGAAGAGGGAGAGGAATGACATAACGCAGCTACTGAACATCATCGGCAAGGTCTACAAGATCGACTCGATATACATATATTTTTTTTTTTAGATCCATGCTCGTGATCCGTATCGATCGATGCGGCGCATCTCGCCTCGTCCTCTTCAGGTCACAGCTACTGCTTATTAATCGAGCTTGATCCAACTTACCGTCAACAGAAATAGCATAGGCGTTTCTGGGATGGCTAGTCTTACAAATACGCGACATGTATCTCTCTTTCTCTCCCTCTCCCTCTCCCTTTCCCTCTCTCTCTCTCTCTCTCTCTCTTTTTCTCTTTCCGAGAAGCTCGGAGTAACTATCCGGACATCTTTCAGAACGGCGAGAAAAACAATGTACGAAAAGCCTAATTGTCCTGCGCAGACGATCGATTCTCTTAGTGAGGAAGGAACGTTGCGCGATCGTGATTTCGATTGATTGCCTAACAATAAGACACACCGGCTGACCCATTGGACACCACCAGCTAAGGATTATCTCTAATGCTGTGACTTCCTTCCAAGATCTCGCAAACCGGCATATCTTCGTTTTCGGTGAAGCTTGCTTTGTCAAAGAGTAAGTAACCTTTTCCTTTCTTTATCTTACGTTTATCATTCGCAGTAAGAATAATCAGACAGATTATTTTATTTTTTATTTTTATTCGAAATGAAACGTAGCAACATCTTAGGACTAACAATAAATATACATTTTATTGAAAAAGTGTATCGCGCATATTATAAATGAAAATATTAGCTCTGTCGAAAAGTTCTCATCCATTTGCAGAACAATTATTTCCGAATAAATCAAATGTTTAAAATAGAACGAACAGCCAATTTTCGATAGATTTAGTATATATGTATATATAGTGTTTTGTAAAAAAGTATAGGGTAATTAGCTCGTGGAGCCATCTACGAATATTGCGTGAGACAAGAGAGATTTCGAAAATTTACCAACATTTTAAAAATATAAATTGCACGATTTATATCTTGTATATTATCAAGTTTCAATTGAATTCAATCGTCTTTCTTTACGTTAAGTTTACTTCTATCTTTGGCAAAAATAATGCGTGTCGATCATGTTCGAATAAATTACAGTTTGCGCACTTTCGATTAACAATTGATAAGAGAAAACAAGAAAAAATATATATATACCTATGAGAAGATAGATCCAAAAGAAATTTGTTTTTTTTTAGGCTCGACTGAAATAGGTGAAGGTTAATAAATAGCGATCTAATAAACTCGTAACGCGAGGTGCCAGTTCGAAGACGTAGTAAATTTATTGAGTTACTTGCAAACGGTTAGCACGTAACAAAAGGCAATTTTCTATGAGCGTGCCGGTGTGTATCGGAGAGTAACACCTGGCCCAGATTCGCGACTGCGCGATAAATACAGATGCATGTACTTACATATGTTAGGTACCTACAACCCTTAGACGATGATGCGAGTGCAATTTAAACGTCAGTACACAATCAGTATCCAATCAAATCCTTATCGAAGAGATCGTTTCTTTCTTCCCCTTTCGATCTATTCGAGCATACTTAATCTTTTGTCGTTGTTGTAAATAATATACGGTTCGCATGATCGAGCATATCGATGTCATGTCGGATTACGTATTTTTCGGTATACTTTTTAGTAGTTTACGTATGATCGATCGAAATTAATGTTGAAAAAAGCATCGTTTAAAATGATCTTATCTTTAGTTTTCTAATTATATGAAATTTAAACAGATTTAGAATGTGCGGAGCTTTTGGAAGAGCGGGAAGACAGGCGCGCCAGAACGAGCGCATTCGGACCATGACCCAGACCTATGCAGCTCTCTCTTTCCGAGAGTGCATCTATGTACGAAATTAGTTGACACGCTGCAAAAGGTCGCATTAAACTTTTCATTGGCCGTAGTCGGCTGCGAAAGGCTGCTCTTTATTGAGATACGTTTGACTTTATTTAGATGAGTTTGTATAATTTGAGTCATGGAATTGCTAGAAAATGGAACAAAGTTGAACAGTGATATAATGAAATCCATTTTTTTTTAGGAAAGTTTAATAGTTTTTGGTGATGCTATCGTTTGCGAATAGAACTTGTCATAGTAGGTCTATCGAAAATTTGTTTTCCTTATATTTATAAATTTTGTATTTGTATTTAAAATATTTATAAGCAATTTAAGTTTTATTACAAAATAATTGTACGCAAAATGGACAAAAAAGAAAGTATCGAGGTAATGGTTAAACGTGAACATAAAATTCTGAATTTGTAATTTCTAATTATTCTTTTGCAGTGATTTTTGAAAAGAAGAGAAGGATTCCTTTTCGAACACGGACATGGTGTTGAAATTTGTGGACATCCTGTTATCTACTTCAATGTTAATTTATCTGCTTGTTATACTTGTAAGTATATGTACGTCATATAATTTACAGAAAATAATGTCTGTACGATACGATTTAATGAAAAAATAGATTTGTATTATGCAACGTAAAGACAAACAAATGTAAACAATTCATTTAAAGATGCAGAGATTCAACAAACAAGTTTATTTTTGTTTATCATCGGCAGGAAACGGAGGAGTAAATAGTATAGTAAGCTATCTCGAATAGTTGACGAGAAGATTCGTCTAAATTTTAGTCGTGTCGAATGTCAATGACACGTGCCGATGGTATTTGCACGTGACGGTAAATTAAAGATCATTATGATTCAGGTTGATCTCGCATGCTTGTTATTAACAACGTTAACCTCCACGCTTCGAGGTGTCTTATGAATTTTATTGAAGCTCGATATACCACTTTGGTCGAGCGTGCAAATTAAATTGAAAAATTTCTACCCGAAATTAGAAGCGAGCTCGATATCGTATGCTAACTTTGTCGTATCCTTTGTCGAACGGTTCATTTCATTCGAGAAGAATCAAAATCCATTTGAAATAACTAAATATAGGCTTTTTTATTTACAAATATAATTAAGTTAAATTTGACCCGATACTTTTCTTTTTTTTTTTTTCAGTATAAGAAAATATCAAACGTTTGTTTCAACTTTTTTATTCCAACTGAAATAAATCTCAGAGAATATAAATTTTTACACAATAGATTTGTTTCAAGAAGTAAAAAAATAAAAGGTGAAAGATGAAAGCGTGCGAGGAATATATATTCGTTGAAACAGAGAAAAACTTTTCAAGGTCGAAATAAACTAACGGCGTGAATCGCGAAAAGTTCCACATACATTTACGTCTATCAATGTCAGAAATATGCACGAAGTTGAAGTTAATCGGTCGTGGTTTCCGGACCGTGTGTATTGCATTCCCTTTCCAATTGAGGAATCAAGAAAACGTGCGTCGTTATTCACTAAATAGGTACCGACCGAATATTGATCTCAATATTAAATGTCTGGGAGACTTCTTCAAAATTCGATTAATAGAGGATTATCGGAACTTTCGCGATTTCAAACATTGTTAGTCAATCTGAGCCATCCGATGACGTTCGATTCGTAGAGAGTATGACTAGATGCTATGCTGTATGCTAGGAAAATTGAAAAGTTGGCCAAGGGCCAAAAATATCGGCGACAAGGCTCATCGGTCGATGTAACATCGCCGAAATAGCACACGCGGAGGGACGAAAATACGAATTTACGTGCACTCGTAGGAATATACCTTACCTAGAGTAGCTTTATTCTATCTCTTACTTTTTCTTTCTTTCTTTCTCTTCCTGGTACGAAACTCGTTCGGTCGTTGGCACGACTATCTCGTACGTACATACGTTTAACGTACGAAAAGCGCTAATGTAAAGGTGATCTCTGATCAAAACAACTTTGTTTATAAATTATTTGAACGATATTTATATCGTATCGTAAAGTTACATTAACGTTCGTCGACTATAATTCAAATTTACGTTCATTAACCCCAATGTTTTTTTTTAATTTCGTTGATTCATTTTGAATTGGTTTTCAGGAACCATTTGAATTCGATGATCCTGTGTCAATAATGGCGGGTTATCGTAGGGTGAATCTCGTGACAACCAATGAGACTATGACCGGCAGCAGTATAGCGAGCAACATGATTGGCGAGTCCAGCGACAACGCAGTCGACACTCTTCGATCGACCACGCGACAAGTAAGCTCGTGTTGTTCCTTTCTCTCTCTCTCTTTCTCTTTCTCTCTCTCTCTCTCTCTCTCTCTCTCTCTCTCTCTCTCTCTCTCTCTTTACTTTATCTTCATAAGGTGCACCAATCAAAGAAAAGTCACCCTTTTGAAATTTCTTGTTTATCTTTCCTAACTGAAGAGATCGACAAAATTAATTCGGATTAATGAACTCAAGGTTCGTGTTATATTTAAAAATATATACGTGTGTGTCAGTATATACAATAACTCTAGGAAGAAAAATCTTTTCCTAATTGGACAAAGTATTTTGAATTGGTGAGTACAGTCAAGAAATGATTCTCGGTTTTCGATAGGAGTAGGAAAAAACTATTTTCTATGTTTTTTTTACCGTTGATCGGCGTTATATACATACGAACTTTACACCTACACAATGATATTTCGATTTACACGATAAAAACGGAGGAATAACAGAAGACAGGGAAAAAGAAGCTGGGCAAACTGGAGGGGCTTCCCCCACCAGGTCTCATTAATGCATCTTACTGTATATACATATAATACATAGATAGATGCGTATATATGCTAATCAGTCGTGCGTACATTTATGCGCACACGAGGCACCGACCGAGGCGCGAGAGCTTAACCGACATATAAATAGCGTGTTTAAAGAGAGCCGCTAGAACTCGTGTATACTTCTTACGAGACGATCCTAAGGAGTACCGATAGCAATCCAACGAAAAACCGGTGCTACTTTCGTTTTCATTTTTTCAAGAAAAAACCCTCGAAGTTGATATTTTTGTAAAAACAAAAATAAAGACCGCGTCAATTTTGAATGTGCTGTGCTGCGTCTAATAATACAATGTATCGGTGATCGTTGCAACGTGTTTGAATACAAGTAAATAAAGCTAATTAAACGTTTAGCAATTAATGAGAAATGTTTGTTACATTTGAAATTAAGTGGGGGGAAAAAAGGAAGAATATTCTTCGACAGGAAATGAAGTTTCCTAAACTAACGCGAGGTCTATCGACGCCATAAGAGAAAAAAATAGGTCGTTGAAATCGCTGCACGCATACCTGCATCGATCAACTAACGCTGCGTTCTTTTTATCGCGACCCTTTTGCATGCTAATTTTGTTGGGTACGATGGACCTACTAACTTTCTAACGAACCACCACTTTTTCGTTGGTTTTTATCGAAGTGAACTTTTATAAGTTTGTGTATTGTTAAAATATATGAACATTTCGAATTATTCAAATATATTCAAATAATATATATGTGCGATTATAAATGGTTTATAATCCGTAATAATTATGAACGATTCGTATTGAAATATATATCTATTTAATTAATGAATTTCATTGTTATTTGTTTGGCAGAAAGTTCGACGGGTTTACGGAGAACAGAAGAATTATCAAAAGAACGAGAAGACGCATAGGGCAAGAAGCAGCGTCGTCAACAATTACAGCATCGTTGCCTCCAGAGGCGAGCTCTCTCGAAATAACTACACCGTCGATGCTACGTCAAAGGACGTTACGAAGAAACGAGCGTCTTTCCTCAACTCGAGTAAGATCTATGCGAAGGAATCAAGTCCTCGTACATCCGTCTTCTTCGCTAGAGATTTAACAGGGAAAAATTCCAAGGACATCGAAAGGACTCAAATCTCGAGCACAAGGCTAGCTCGAACTTACAACGGTAGTTCACGACTTTTGGCTAAGTCTGCCTCCGTCCCAGCGATTCTTGACGAAGGTATTGGCTCCTTTCATTTTTCATATTTATCACGTTTTATTTTTATTGTTACGCGTCTACTCATAAGTTTATTATTTCGTTTGGCAAACTGTCAATTTTACTTCAAGTCTTAGTTAACTAGTTTTCATCTAAAGTAATAAAGACAAAAGTAAATGTAATGTTGCAAGAAGATTTAATTAATTAATCGATTAAAGAAACTTTGTCATATCTTGGTACATATTCCAATGTTAGGAGACTAAATTTATGATTTTGAGGCTTACAATTAATGTCTTACGACCATTTTTTTAACATCATACGTGTTGCATCACGCGTCATTGATACGGCATGAATACCTTGTGTTACATTGAGTCACGATTTTGATTCGTATCGGATTTCTGAAGGTCGGAAAACAAATATTGAAGAATCGAGATTTTCGTGACAGTTTTTATAGGTACATAAAAATGATTTTGAATCTCCCGTTTTATACTTTTGTCAAGGTTTACGACGAAAAGAGAAATCTTTTGTGAGAGACGAAAGAAAACACGAAGAGGGTATACTGAAAAGATCGTCAGCTTTTTTGGCAAGTTTAACTCAAGCGGGCCTTCGATCAGCTGAGAAGAGGGACAACGTTGTCGAAGATTCCTCCTGGTTTCCAGAATCTTTGAGATTGAATGGATATAGATCGAGTAGATACTCTACTCTGAAAGGATACTTTTCAAATACAAACAGCGAGAACGAGCTTAGGCCAGTGTTAGGAAAATCGAGTGGTTCTCAAATTTTGTCAACTAGCTGGAAAAAGAACGTAGGGGTCAACGTGAAGAAATCGGTGTCCTTCAGTTCGGACACTAGCTTCGAGGAGAAGCGAGCACCCTATCGTAAGCCAACTGTTCACGAGGTCAAGGTCTACCACAAGGGCGTGCTTCAAGGTAAACATGCGTCAATTTCGTGCTTTCATTATATTATTTGGCACAAAGAAGTTGTTAGATTTTTCTACTTTTTTTTCCCCTACTATGACAATTTACATATTAATTATCATAAGTCGGTTGTATTAAATGCAAATAAGTTGTATTTATTTTTATATGACAAATTTACATTTAAATTATTATTTAGAATATTAATTTTTTGTCTAACTGTGTTAGAATTTCTATAAAGATAATTAGACATTCATAGTTAATTAATAATAAGAGAAATAATTTCTGACGTAGAAAATTCGTGTGGCAGATAACGCGTTAACCAATTCCATTTTATTGTTAAACTTTATTCATCGGTGATACTCATCCTTTATTTTCTAAAATTGATTGAACGACAGATCGTGCCACTCGCGAAGACAATTTCAAAGTAAAAGTGCCACCTTCGTGGGAAATACCCTCGGAGGGCCCCAAAGCCCTCTTGAGGGCCGCTATGGAAGCCGACGACACGATTTTGAAAGAAGTCGTGATGCGTGCTCGCAAGTCTGATTTGTGCGATGTCGATGTTAATATGACTGACAGTAGCGGCAGGGTGAGTTCATTGAATTATTTTATTATTTTTATATAATAAATAATTAGAATTATTTGCAAATAATGATAGCGATGGAAAAATTGCCATCGCTATCACTTGTTATATTTGCGATACATACATTACGGAAATATATAGTTATTTTTCACTGTAAAATATGATCGTAGGTATAATGAATTAATGGCCAAACAGGTGTATGTAAATAGATGATGAACTCCGCGACGAAGCTCTGACGTTCATTTCAAGAGATACTTCAAATCTCTGAACAGTTGTCTCGTCTTTTTTATTCCTTACGTCACAAGATATACTTCGAGATAGATAAATTCATTATTCCGTTTACGATTCCGATCTTGTTACGATAAGCATGATTTCTTTGTTTTTCTTCGCCGTTTGAGAATACGAGCTGCTTCGTTCGATTATTATTTCAAGCGATTTCATTCGAAATCATTTTACGAGGTTACCTATATGAATTGTATCGACACCCACGTTAATGTCTTTCCAATGGAAAATTTTCCATTTCAATTAGAAGAGATAAGGAGGGAAAAGAAATTGTAAATAAAATCTATATAATCTGAATGGCAGTATGCAAAGACTGGCCGAAAAATAGAAAAACAAATAATAATATCTGTGAAAAGGTTCGATGATATTCACGTGGGATCGATCAAAGTATAACGTAACTCGGTAGATATATCGCTATCTATGCCATTTTGAAGGATGTCTTCAGCGAAAGGGAATTCAAAGGAACAACTTCTCTGTTGGTTACAGAAACTCGATCGCGTGGAATGACAATTTGTATTTATAGCTTACCATATACATTAGTAGCGTGCGCGCGCGCGCCTATTGATTTTCCACAGGACAAATGTAGAAAAAGGAATATCTTTTGAATAGCAAAGTTGAATATGAGATCGACTGCTTTTTGAACCAAGAGATACATTTATTGTAACACAAAAACAACTTTGGTTTTCAATCATTATTTTTGTATGTTGCGAATGATATCAATGTTTTTACTTCTTCTCTCTCTCTCTCTCTCTTTCTCTCTCTTGATTTATTTCTCTTATTCTTAGATTTTTAAAAGATCAATGAGCAACAGATATATTTCGAAAGTAAAATCATTCAAAGAGATGTATGATGCAACTATATACATAGACATCCTTCGGCATATTCTTCAGCAGGGAAACGATAATGAATTATCCATGCGGAATGTTTCTGGCCGCATTCCGTATGCGGTAATATCGTAGAAAGATTAAAATCTCTTCTTCGGCTTTGACCATATCGAGTATGTGCATGGTCGTCTTCTTCTTCTTCTTATTCTTTTTCTTCTTATAATTAGTCTTCTTTTTCAATAATATCAATGACAACGATTTGAAGTTGTTAGAAAAGGATCTTCAGAGATATGTGAGGATAATCTATATTTAAATTAATATGAAAAAAAAGAACAAAAGAAAAGAAGAAGAGAAATTAGAATATTTTCGAGAAAAATATACTTATGCAAATCGTTGAAAATAATATTAACGAATGTTTTCTGTTTACTGATGAAACGTATGAAACGTGTTGTTTAAATGAAAGTACGTAAGAGGAATATATTTAGCTGCTGAAGAGAGTTGTACGATTAGAAAGAACTAGCGAGAGAGAGAGAAAGAGAGACTTGCGTGCTTGGCTATTCTAATTACGGGCACTGCCGATTGGAAAGATCCTTCTCCCTCGTTCTTTCTTTCTCTCTCTTTCTTGTTCTCGTTATGTCTTCCGATGACGTGCTGTGCATTGGTGATTTACATTGAATATTATCATGGATCACGAGCAACGTCTTGTCAGGATCGATATTCTCTTGTCGATCTTGCATGACGACAAACTTCCGTTCTTTTTTATAATGCCTCGTAAAATACAATATATTATAAATACTAAATTTATAATCAAAAAATCTATATTTTTTTGAATTAAAGATTACTAATGAAACATATATTTGTGTTAATACGTAATATGAAGTTTTATTTGATATTATTACATTGAAAATGAAGAGAAACTTTTTCATGTAATATTACTTGGCTTTAAAATATTTATCTTAACAGATCTTGTTTTTCAATTATTTATATTTCTTCTTATCAGCCATTAAAAGTGTTACGAAAAGAAAATTAATCTTTAGGTGCATAACAAATTTCTTAAGATCAGTGCAAACGTTTCTTAAAACGATGGAGCAAATCCACACCCAGTAAATCGTCGTTTCGTGCTTTAGCACCTCCCAAAGTGTATTTCCATGTGGCGCATAGTGACGCAAGTAAAGTAATAACGCTGGGACGATCGTATGAACGTCAGTGGTCACTTAATAAATTCATCCTCGACGGATAGTCCATTATGCGTCTTGTCGAGATCAACGTTGTTGCAAAATGAAACATGTCTTGTATCCTATCTTTCGCAAGTCCGCTGGTTGTTGATAAAAATTGCGTATTTTTTTGCGATTTACCTGCTGCGAATTTGAGGCCTTTTCGTCGAACGTTTGCTATTTTAACATTTCAAATTGCGTCGTTGTAACTTTAAATAGAACGAAACGATGGTAACCGTTGTAGTTAATTCTCTAGTTTATTTCACGTTTATTTTATCATTTCTTATTTTTTAAAATCCGAACAAAACAACGATGTTTCTGATTATTTCTAAAGGTAATTATTATAATAATATGAAATGATTGATATCTCGTTGAAATCGTAGTATCGCCCACGTTTTACGTTGACGTCACATTCAAAGGCGTTGAGTTTTCTCTGGCGTCACAATACTTCTCTACTAGCATACCAATTTGTCCGTTAAGAAAATCAACTAACGTCGTGATTACATGCTCATGTGTGTAGACGGCTATAAGCTATATGGCTGGAAACGGTGCTGCAGCGATGTTGGAGCTAGCACTGTCCTTCGAGGGTGCCGATGTTAACCTTCCCGACAACGAAGGCAACACGCCGCTTCATTTTGCGGCTCAAGCTGGTAAGTTCGACGTTATAACGAACAGTACATTCTTTTCTTGTTTTTTTTTTTTTTTTCAAATCTATCCTTTTTATCATTCGCATCTTCAATCATCTGCTACAAGTTTCTGTCTTTGTCATGGATCTTTCCATTGCAAAAGTGATTCGTAAAATGAATTGCATTTTTCATAGTAATATACATAGTTGAATTATAAAAAACAAAGATGCAAATTCTAGATCAGCATTTTTAAATCTTTTTGTCGAACGATTCAATACATTTGTTTGTGATGATACCGCAGCCCAAATGTTTATAATATACAATTTTGAAAAACCTGGTAGACCGTAGTCACTGTATATTATTTCAAAAATACGACTTTTTTTCGTTTCTTTTTTTTTACCGCGATATATATTCTCGCAAAAACATTTTACGAGAACTTTCTGGAAATCTCTTAGAAATGAATCATTTTGCTCGTTTCATGGCGTAAGTTGGCATTATCACTTGGACGTCCCAGCAAAAGTTTAGCCACGGTTTGTAGATTGAAAAACGCTGTTTTAGATTATGATTCAGAATAATTTGTAAATGACATTGTCCAAACAAGAGACTTGATGATTTGCTTGTTTGTTTTCTAAAGTTCAACACATTAACTATTGTTAACACCATCCATTCTAAACACATACATCGATAATTCCTTGCTGATTGTTTGGGAAAATTCATTGAGTTCGTAAGAACTCGTTAAGTTTCCAGATCGTTCGTAAATTCGAAGGAGAGTTTTAACGGTAGAATCTGTTAAACTTCAACAGCCTCCTTGTGTAGCTCGTACCTTTTGAAATTTTGTAAACAGTCGGCGAAATGTCGATTAGAAAATGTTTGGAACGCGACTCGAGGCTAACGCCAAAGTCTCGTATGTGTGTAGGCAATGCTAACCAACGTTACCGAAAATAACTGACTTTGGAGTACTCGATACTCGCGTGGTACGCGATGACGTGCACTGAAAAATCTTCCTTCGTTTGTGCCTGTTTATCGAATTTACCATCACCTACACATATAAATATCTATATACTTATTCATTAATTTATACTACATCGTAGATATGCTCTAGCGTTTAAGACATTTTTTTACACAAAAAAGTAATTTGTCTTTGAATATTCGTTTATATTTGCCCACCAATTTAGAACATTTCGTTTATACTACAAATAGTTGAGCAATCAGTTTCAGAAATTGTTTCTATATTACGACGATTCATTGCATGCAAACTAAAGTAGGTTTTTATTTTATTTGCTTATTCATATCGTAGGTCAAACCGAGTGCCTGAACGTTCTTCTTCAAAGGTGTCCCGACATCGAGGTCGATGCAAGAAACACATTAGGATTCACGCCTCTTATGAAGGCAGCCCTTCAAGGACGAACGAAATGCGCTAAAATATTGCTCTTTGCAGGTTGATGATTCATAGCTTTTATTTTCTTTCTAATCAAAATTATATGCCGTTAAACTAACAAATATTAATCTTCGGATAGAAACTAACAATTAACTATTAACTTTAAAAGATTTTATTGGAAAGTATAATTAGATATATCATAACATTTATTGATTATTTTTTCTTATTCTGAATATCGTAGGAGCAAACCCCACGTTGCGGGATCATGGAAGAGGATTAAGAGCCGAACAATGGGCAAGATTTTGTGGGAGGTACGTTTGTGCCGAAGTAATCGAAAGATTTGCGAGACATCGTTTGTTGGAGAGAACAACGTCGTGTCGTTGGGGAAGTGAACCAGAATTAGCAGCAAAGGTTCTTCAGGGAAAGGTACGTTAAGTTTTTGAATAAAATACTAATCCTCTCAAATAAATCAATATATAGTATATTATTAAATTGATCACATTATGAAAATAGATTTTTATATGCAACAATGTAATAGTAAAAATATTTACATTTCTATTACTAATGAAAATGCCTACATTATTATTATTAATATAATAAAAATACCTATATTAAGTAAATGATTAAATACAATTAACAATAAAAATGTAGGTATTTTTCTGGTTAAGTTTTTAATAGTGAAAATATCTAAATTTGTATTATTTTTCAGCACTCATCCTTATTAAAGTGAAATTTCAATTTGTATCACAGGTAACGCCTATCCCAATAACACCGTTACCAACCTCCTCGACAGGCTTGAAATCCAGGATTAGAAAAGTATTTCGAACGAGTTCGGGTCCCGATCGAAGTTCCTTTTCCTTGGTCTCGCAATTGACGAGTGCAGCTCTCTGCGCGAGTAGTCCTGCGTTGCCAAAGAACGGTCAAGTGCCTCCAGTCGTCAAAAGTCTTTTAAGACCTCTCAGTGTACCTCAGTTAAGGTGCGGATTGGTTACTTCGATCGAAACGAAACATTTACTTTTGGCCTTTCGACCTATGTTTATTTTATTTTGGAATTTCTTTCTTTCTTTTAGGATCACCCTAGTTTCGCCGCAAGATTTCATTGATAAAAATGGCGAAAAGTGTGGGGGGGCCAGTTTCGCAGAAAGGATTGAAAGTGCTATTGTGAAACCGCCGAGAACGAAAAAGAAAAGCAAGTAATTTATTGATAATCCATGGAAAAATTCCGCTGACAATGAATGGAAAGAGAAAATCGCACATTTTGTGCTTACGTCGTAAAGCGCGACGATATTTTCGAGTTGAGTAGCTCGTAGGTATGATAGCTTTTTTTACCTCAAAAATCACAGTTGTATCGTCCACGAGAGAATTTATGGTGGAAAGTCGAAGATCAAAAAGGAAAGTCCTTCAAACTCTACGAGGATTCCAAAAGTGTATCCACGTTTTACGATCTACGATTAAAATAGTGTTTATTGTTATACGTGAAACGCCACAATGCCGTGGTCAAAGTTTAGAAACATTTTTCGAGCCGGTCGAAGGTTTATATTTTTAGATCATCAATGTTCTTAACTGATTGCTTCTATGCGGTCAGGGGCACTCGATGAAAAATATTGTTTTTTTCCGATGGATAAACTGGATGCTGGAATTACGTCGATTATCTTAAGTGCGATAATCGAGGAGTCACGTTGTCCTTAGACGTTTAAATATTTATCCTGAGAGCAACGACGTCGAAGAAAGCCGCTTGGCGATTTGCCCGAACGAGTGTTTACTCTTAATGAATGATGTTAAACTTCATTTAAGTACATGTGGTATGAAACTTTTGTATGGACTATTACGATTATCACACGATTGTTTAAATAAACGTCTCGTTTGACATTGGAAGCAGCTTGTTCTCCAAGATACTTCACCCGAGAATCGTTCATTCCGATCTTCGATTTCGGCGTTGCCTTCGGTTTTTAGCCTTGGATAGTATTTCATAGGCTTGCTGTATTTCCATAAACTTTTCTTGAGCTTTTCGCCTCTCTTTTCGCGTTCCCTTGACTTTATCCGGATGATTATCCCTCGAAAGTGTTCTCCACTTGGCCGTAATTTCATTTTGCGAAGCTGATGGGGATAGATCAAGGACCTACGATGAGAAATAATAATGATTTGTGTTTTTTCATAGTATCAAGAATATTATATAGAGCGGCTTATATTAAAATAACATTGTTTTTTTAAAGGAGATTATTTGAGAGTTTTAAATGAGGTTTAATTGAGATGATATAATAGAAAAAAGCATACCTTATAGGCGTTTATTTCCCCTCGTGGATCAGATAGGTCCACGATTTGAGCCCACGTTGCCCAAAATCCTTGATGAACCGCTTGATTCCAGGTTGCTTTTAAACTCGCCTACAAGTACCAAATATGAAAGAAATATTATTCACGTTATATCGTCTCACGAGTACCACGAACGATTGTCAAATTAACAAACCTTAAGGTCGAGCCAAATTGGTGAAGTAAGGAAGTGCCGAATCGCATCGGACAATTTTATTTCTTCGCCTTCACTGTCAGTGATAATAGCATTGAAGTACAAATAACTACCTATGAATGAAAAATACAAGATAATAGCTAAGGATAGAGCGAACATTCTTCTGATCAATCCTCGCTTCTTTTTTGGTTTTAAACGCCACCGTTTGCTGAAGGTGTCGAACGCTAAACTCGATGCCACCACCATGAGAAATACCCAAGTAGTATCATCGCCGATGTAGTACAGAGTTGGATAAACGAGATAAGCTGCAATAAGCGCTGCCCATATCGTACCCCCTTCTCTGCCGATGTTTCCAACTGTCCAAACTCCTGTTAAATAATAAATACTACCAATTTAATTAACGAAAAAAAAAAAATACTTAAGCTACCGCTCGTTACTATCCAGTTTGGAATGAATTAAAAAATATTTTAGCGTATACTTGATAAATGTGCCTACATAAAGATAGGAACATTGCAGGGTAAAAAGCATTGGGAAACGGTATAGTGAAAAAACGCAATACCTAGAGCGATTATTATTGGTGTCAGAATTATCAAGTGCCGAAAATTAATTCCATTTATCTCGTCCTCCGGTATAGCACTGCAATAAATTTCAGCCCAGAAATAACCAACTGCATTTGCAGCAGTAAATCGTACGGTTGAAAACGACGGCTGCAAGAAAATATTACAATTTATATTTTATTTTTTGTTTTCCATTAGTCATAGATATAATGTAAACGACGTGCTATCCGATATGCATTATCCGTAGCGAATTTGTTGCTGATTCAGCAACGACTAATTATCACATTACCTTGCGGTTAGTTTTAACTTTGCGTTTAAATTCTTCGATAAATTTTGGATCATCGTTGGCATCGACCACGTAGGATGGAATTTTAAAAATGTCCCACAACCATCCAAGTCCTAGATAACCACCGAAAGTGCTTATGTATAAGAAGGCATGAGCGTCTCTGCCTAAATAAATATGATGAGCTCCGATGAAACCACCGAAAAGCCAAAGAACGTATGCCCAAAACTTCGATTTCCGTCCTGGAATTTTTTTATCCTGAGTCTTCGAGTTGTCCATCATCTTCGCCTATGTTTTTTTCTTTTTTTTTTTACTACGCGTGCCAGTTTATTTTCAGTTATCTTTACAATTTGTTAATTAATCTAGTAAAAATGTTATCCTCGCGTTATCTTCATTTTTATTTACGTTTTATCTATATCGAATAGTGGAACCGCGTCGTTAAACAATTTTATGGAACGTTGTAGGACACTTCCTTTGAATTTCTTTGATCTATGATACATATATCCTAATCTATATTCCGCTTTTTATTTCAATTTATACACTATTTACGTATTTTCACTCATGCAAGAACTCGTATTATTGCCTTATTTGTAAAAGATTCAAAGAACGTAAACGCACCAATATACCGCTTCGAACAACTACGAAACGTCTTCCCCTTCGTACTATCCTATGACACGTACGTGGTTCAACGCACCAGCAGGTATAACGGCACTTCTTTCAGGACCGTACCAACAAGAGCATAATTCTTTTTCCTTATTAATTTTAACTTTAAAAAATTCTTGTAAGGATGTAGAGTCTAAGGATTTCATTAATTAATCTTAATAACGAGTTTGTAATAACGTTTAATCGTATTGGTAAACATGTACAGTTCATTTCGTTTGTTTACATTAGTTTATCATTTTTGAAATAATATGAAATAAGTTTCTTAAAAATTAGCAATGTTTATTTAAAAATTAGGAGAGAAGTTTGGATTGCAATAATCTCTAGTTGATCTAATTAATAATAAAAAAGATAAAAAAACTGATATATATATATATATATATATATATATAATCTCATGTGAACTCTGATCATATTATTAATATTATTATATTAGTAAAAATATCGTTAGATATGCATAATATATATTTTTATTATTTCAAGCAACGTAGTTATAATTTCAAAGATGAAGATGGATTTATATTTTTGAAAAATCGATTGTTCTGCCATCTAGCAACAAATACGATATGCGTTTGCAATGTTCTGTTTTACCGATATATCTCGTATTATTTACAATTAGTAGTAAATTTAATCATCAGATGGAGCACCTTGTGCTCCAATTTTCTAGGAATTTAACGATTCTGTTTCAATAAAAAATATAAGAAATACATCAGTTCTGTGCCTTTCGTTCGTTTTATATTTTTACAGAAAGGATAGAGATAGAAAGAGGGAAGGGGAGAAAGAGAAATATTGGGAGAAAAGGAAAAAGTTTTGTCCTAAGGGTTAAATATCCACAAAGCAAACGCTCATTTTTAGTATAGTTCGTAAGCAAGATAGCGCCGAACACGTGCCGTAAAAAGACCTGCTTTCGTTACACGCGGTTTCTCTCATTTTAAAAGATGAGAACACGTTGAGAAACGAAGCGAAGTTTAGTGCTAAAACAGTAAGATGCTTACTGATGGAGGTTCGTTCATCAGTATCGTGTAGCCACAAGGAATGGAGACGTATCGCAAAGAGAGAACGACGCAGGCGGTTGCGTCAAAAGGCTGCGAAGGAACGCGAAGCAGACGAATTACGATTGAGGGCAGCACTGGAGAATAGCGCGGATTATTTGAATTGGTGCAAAGAAGAGGAACGATGCAAGAAAGAAAAAGAAGAGTTAGAAAAACGAGAACACGAGAAAAGAGAAGAATTATGGCTCGAGGAGGAGGTAATATAGATTGTTATCGTCATTTTACGTTGAAAAACAAATCATTCATTATTTACTACATTAATATAATTTTCAGGTAAAAGCGCAAAAGGAATGGCTTATTATTCAGGAACGTAAAGCAAAAGCTAGACAACAGCAACTGAAACAAGAAGAACAAATTCGAAAAGAGTTTGAGGCTAAGCAAGCAATTATACGTAAGAAAGAAGAAGAAGAAAAACTTAAACGAGAAGAGGAGATAAAGCGAAGAGAATTATTGCATCAGCAAATTGATGATTATATAGATGAAGGAATAAAAACGCCAGAGATTCTTAGAGAAATTATCGACAGTCAACCGGGCAAAGAACTTTGTCCTTTCTTTTCTAAAACGGGCGCTTGCAGGCAAGTCGTGTAACTAAGAAAATCTAAAAAAAAGAATGAATGATAAATAAATTTATATTTTGTAGATATGGAGATACGTGTTCCAGAAATCATCGTCGAGTTTGCCTAAGCAAAGTCCTTTTAATACCTAATTTTTATACGCATTTCTCTCTGGAAAAAAACTCTACGGAATATGATACGGACATTGGATTGGAATTTGAGAGTTCCGAGACCAGACAACACTTTCGTGAGTTTTATTACGACGTTGTACCGGAATTAGAATCTTACGGAAGAATTAAAACGCTCAGACTATGTTGCAATACCGAGATTCATTTGCGCGGTAATTTGTACGTTGAGTATTATACTGAACGAGAAGCTGCTAGAGCTCAGAGAAAACTGAAGGGTCGTTGGTACGCTGGCAGACAATTGAACTGCGAATTTGCCAATTTTAAGTCTTGGAGAAGTGCAGTCTGTGGGATGATAAAATGTCCTAAGGGTAGAGCTTGCAATTTTCTGCACACTTTTCAAAATCCTTACACCGAATACGACATCAAAAGTCCACCGCGTTATTCAAAAGCAGCTACTTCGGAAAGTAATAGCAAAAGGAGCGAACAAAGGTAAATTTATCTCGTGTTTTTTTTTTTATTGAATATTAATTTTTATATCTAGACCTAATCTTTCATTCGTGTCTATTGGGTTGCATACCTTTCCAGGAACAAATCTACATGGGAAGAGTACATATGCGAAGAAACCGATGAAAGTAAAAATTGGAGGTGGTCAGAATCACCCGAGATTGAAACGCCGAACAAACGTTCGAGGAATAGCGAAAAACAGCATAGACACTCGAACGAAAGAAACGGTAATCGTTCTTCTAGACACGATAAACAAGATCGAAGTTCCAGAAGTTCTAGGAAGTTTAGAAGAACGTCGACGGAGAGGCGAAATCATCATTCAAGTTCAATCAGATCTCGAAGATGCTACGAGAAGAAACGCGAAAGTGAGCATTATCATAAAAACAAAAAGAGATCTAAAAGAAAGCACGATAATAAAGATCGAAGCTGCGAAAGAGCAAAAAAGATTTCTCAAAAGAGTAGTAAATATTCGACAACATATTCTACAGAAAAAGGACAGGATGGAGAAGTTGGTAAATATAAGTTGAGAAGATTGGAAGAATGCGATGATTATAATCCCTCGGGTATAAAGATCGAGATCAAGACCGAGGCCGAGACCGAAACCGAAACCGAAACCGAAACCGAGACCGAGACTGAGACCGAGAATAAGATCGATAGGCTTCAATTAGAAAATAAAGAGAGTAATGTTAAAAAACAGAAAAAGAAACGTACATCAAAGTGGGATAACACAAATTTTGATGAAATGGAAGATGTAAACTCGAGTGATTCTGATTGTTCGAGCGATAGTAGTGAATTGCGTAGGACTATCGATAAACGAGTTCCTGACGGTTGGACAACAACCGATTCTGATAATGAAGAAGATAATAAACGGTGATAATATTTAATACGTAATAATATTTAATAAGATATAATATTATATATATATATTTATTATTTAAGTGAAACTTCTTTTGGGGAAGTACTGAAAATTTTCAAGTGAGACAAAAAGTGAAGATCTTTAAAGGAGCGTGTTGTTTGAGTGATTAGGGAGAAACGGGGGTAGTATCAATCTGACAAGACTTGCGGAAGATGGCAGGGGAGATACAAGACAGTGGCGCGCGGGCATAAACAATTTTTAACAAATGTCATTGATAAAAATTGTTTTACCAGCACAATGATAGAATATAAGAAAATAAAATGAACAGAAAATAAAACCTAACTAAGCATCAAAATTTATTATATCCTTTTTTTTATAATAGATCTCTATTTCTGAAATAATTTTCGTGGAATATCGCGAATGTACATTAAATATTTTTAATAAATAATTATTTTACAAGTTATTTGTGTGTGTGTGTGTGTGTGTTCTAACGTATTTTTTTTAAACATACCTCAAGTAAAATATAATTTATTTTTTTTTATAATATAGGTATAAATTGAAAACATTTATATGTTTTATGTATTCTAGATTCTTACAATTAGGAATAGTATGATGTCTTAATGATGTTTTAATATGTATGTTATATGTATTATAGTTAATCTTATCCAAAATTTGAGAGAGATACATTTAACAATTATTTTTTAATATTATAATATTAATCGATTAATCGATATAAACATGCACATACAAATACTTATTATATTATACTTATTAGTTATCTGTATATTAAGAAATAAATAAAAATCTATCTTTAGAAATACGAAACGTACATCAGTAAAAAAGTAACCTTCAATAAATTCATTTTCTTTTTTTCATTTCTAGAAGCTTATTTTATAACATACGTATTTAATTTTTATTTTTATGCGTTGTAATAATCAATATGATTGATTATGTAGAGAGAAAGAAGTAAGCAAAGGAAAAGATCAAAGTTAAACGAGTCAAACATCAGCTATAATTTAATTATATTTATTTAATGCGTCAAAACGTCAAATGGCTTGAATGAAAAATTAAAAAAATACGACTAGGCATGGAACGTGTTAATTTCAGACGTTTTTTATTCGATAATTTTCAAATGGATCTCCGACGCAGTAACCTTCTCGTGATGAAATCCATTAATTACTTATGGTATCTATAAATTTTGTATGATATAGCGTAAACACTGCCGGGTCAATTGCTGACATTCGTTGCAAAATGTTTATTTCTCGTTTCATTAATTATTTGTTACATAAATGAAAAAAAAAATGATTTATTAAAATAATTATTTAATTACGCATTGCGATTGTTGTTTACATTTTATTTATTGCAGTATTAAATTCACATAAACAATTCGAAACACATTCAATCGTACTAATTATTTGTTTTAATAATTATTTATAAGTATTGTATTTTTTTTTTAGTTTTACACTTATGTTATATCTATTCTCTCCTATATATATATATATAGATAATAATACAATTAATATAGTTCTGTAAAAATAACCCTATCGCGATAAAATTTATTTTCTGAAAGATAGAATGCAACGCGATATTTGTGCGATTGTATTTTATCTAATATTTCATATAGTTTACAAGTTTGTGTTTACATCTTTTGAAAAGTTTTTTATTAATAATTAAAGCATATACAAATAGTAGCACGATTCTAAAATGTGTTGATCCCGTAATTTAAATCATTGAATTTTAAAAATGATTAGTATATTTTTTATTTATAGTATAATAAATAAAAAAAAGTACGTTACAACTTGGTTTAACTAAACTCTGATTTTTAGAGCTTCAATTGCGATTACGGGCACTACGATTTTACAATTAAAGTCAGTGTTTGTTTCAAAGAAGTTGTATTTTTAATAAATAATAAATAATCTAATAATTCAATAAAGTTATCAACATGAAAAATTTAGAAGTTTAACTTCAGCGCGTGTGAATTCCATGCACTTTTCTTTTTGTTTTTTTTTGCTATGTAATACACGTTCTATACATATGAAATAATACTTATAAAGCAATTCGATGTAGGAATTTGAAAACTCAATTTTTCTTTGTCAATAATGTCTATTTTATCGATATAAAATTCTATCCTTCATCCACGTGATTAATCCATTGATCTTGTTATCTTCGTAAAGAAAAATTTGTGAAATCACGATTTCCTCGAGTAAATCGTGATAATCGTGTACGTTATCTAACTTTTTGTCCGTTAAATGGTGACATACATAGAAATACTTTTTAATTTGTTATCGGTGGTTAATGTTTGTGAATTGTAGCCGATATCCTATCGAACCTTTTATCGTCAAATCACGATTCAAAATAAAAGAAGCAGAACGTAAAGCAATTGTAGAACTCAGAAGAGAACATATCATTTGAAGATGTACGCCTTAATAATTCTGCTCATTTGTACAAACTCCCTGGTCAATGGTTTTGGCCTCCATGGGTTTACTTTTAAGGGTTTAGAAGAGCCAACATTATTGGAGAAGCTTGCTAAAAATGTACATGAAAAATGGTTAACTCAACCACTGGATCATTTTAATCCCCGCAATAATACAATTTGGTTAATGGTAAGAATTTCTTTTATTATCGAGTAACATTCTTTTAATTGTATAAATACTATTACACACAATACTATCAACACAGCGTTATTACGAAAATAAAGCCTTTTATCAAGAAGATGGACCGATATTGATCATGCTAGGCGGAGAATGGGAAATAAAACCTAATTTCTTAACAAATGGACTGATGTACGACATTAGTGTTGCTCATGAAGGCATAATGTATTATACTGAACATCGATATTATGGAAAAAGTAAACCCACAAAGTACGACGATGATTGTTGAAATACTGAAGTAACAAAACAAGTTTCTAAATATTTTGATCACGACTTTTAGAGATACCAGTGAAGAAAATTTGCAATATTTGAACGTCGATCAAGCATTGGCTGACATAGCTTATTTTATTGAAAAAGTGAAGACAGATCTTGGTAATGAAAACGCAACAGTGATTGTTTTCGGTGGATCCTACGCTGGTAATATGGCAACATGGGCTAGATTAAAATATCCTCATCTTATTCAGGTACAATTCTTTTTTTATTTGCAACGTTAACGCGTTTCATATAAAATTAACATTTGTTCATTAAATCTTAACAGGGTGCTGTGGCTAGCAGTGCTCCGGTCTACGCAAAAGTTGACTTTTATGGTAAACATCATGATTCATTTCTTTCTCCAATAAGTTTTATCTTTTGTTAAGTGATCGATTTATAAGTAGATCGATTAATTATTTTCTTTTGTTAATAGAATATTACGAAATCGTGGAAAGGTCACTTCGAAGGTATGACGAACAATGTGCGCTCGATGTTAAAGCTGCTTTTGATTCCGTAGAGAAATTGTTGTATTCAAATGGTGGTCCTGAGAAATTGAAGTTATATTTCAAGTACGTATACATTCCATTCATAATCAAATAAATTAGAAAAAGAATTAAGAGTTATAATATTGTAGCTTATGCGAAGTACCGAACGTGAAATCTAACTATGACGTTGGTCATCTTATAAATACTTTAACAGAGGTAAGAAATCGTGATAATTAAAGACAGAACCGCATTTCAAAAGCGACTATAGCAATGAAGATTATTACCATCGAAAATAATACTATTTGTAATAGAAATTCGCTAGTATTGTCCAATATAATAAAGTTCGGACGGATAGTAAATCGAGTATTGGTGTTTGCTGTGACAATATGACAGCCACGCATTTGGGATCGCCGCTTCAAAGATTGGCTCGACTAATGAGTGATAATGACGGTAAATGTTTGAATGCGAGTTACGAACAGTTCATATCACATTATAAGAATGTAAACTGGGATTTAAATAGTATATGTAAGTTCGATTCGAAATATTTTATGAATTCTAAATAGGATTTTGACTATATTCGTAAAATATTTATTTTGTGATATCATTTAATTAATTTCATATTTCAGTAAGATCGTGGTATTTCCAAACGTGCACGGAATATGGTTATTACTCGACAGCTAATTCCGCAAATTCGATTTTCGGATCTCTCCTCCCTTTGGATTACTTCTTAAATATTTGCATTAACTTATACGGAAATTAGTAAAATTATTTTTCATTATTATTTTTTATAACGTATAATAATTATTCAATAATTCAATATCCATGTAATTTGCAGTTACGATGGTATTTACTTAAAAAAGAGAGTAATGCGAACGAATTTGATTTACGGTGGTTATAAACCGGACATAAGCAATGTCATTTTTACAAATGGCGATGTGGATCCTTGGCACAAACTTTCCGTTTTAGAAGACTTGAACGAGTCAACACCATCTATACTTATGAAAGGTATTTATAGACAAATTTGTATTACATAGACATTATACATTTACTGCTTTATTTTTTTACAGGTATATCTCATTGTCAAGATTTTTTGGAGGATTTTTCTACGGATCCGATAGACCTCACCAAGGCAAGACAAATCGTACGTCAAATTGTTACTAAGTGGATAACGATGTACCAATTTAATAGGTAGTTGAATGATTTTTCATCATTTCAAAAAAAAAAAAGAAAAAACCATAAATGTCCTTTTTACACCAACACATTTTATTTATAATTGTTGCCAAATGAAAAACTTATTTACAAAGGATAATATATATGGAGATACTTATAACAATATATATGTATACGTTATATTGTAGCTAATAGAAATAGAAGAACCTTTATATTTTTTAATTCGTCTATCGTGCGTGTTTTATATAATGGCCTAATTATCAATTTTTTGAATCGCCATTTCAAGACATATCGTTCCCATGAAAAGCGTTTGTCAATAGAAACATTTTATCTAGAAGTGGCTCAATTTATCATTTCTGACTGTTAATCAACATCCATAAGCCCCAAATAAAAGATCAACCTATCTTATCTATTAATAAAAAAAGAGTGATTTTGAAGAATTTCAATCGACTTCGAGTTTCCTGAAAGAACCACTAATGCCACACATCATGCTATCGCTGGAACCAACGCTTGAACAACCAAATCCTTGTTTCAAAGCAGATACGGCACCCTCTCGAGCTTTTTCAGAATATTGGTCAAGGCATACTTTCATTTTATCGTGACATAACAATGTCGGTTTTAATTCTAATAATTCTTGTCGCCAGAGATCTAGAAATAGAAAATATTATCGGAGGCGTTCAGAAAAGAATCCATTTAAATTTTTCGTAAAATATTCCAATTCTTCTTACCGATCATTTCTTTCATAGGCATGGTACCACCATACTCTTTAGGTAGCATACTAGCATCCATCTTGTTATTTAATGCATCTTCCAGGCTGGTGTAGATCTTAACACGACTTTTTATTTTTTCGGAGATCAAGGACATTCCAAAATCAAGGGCGAACTTTAAAGATGGATGGGCATTGATAGCGTGAACTTCTTTGTGTCTCATAGGTACTGTACGCTGAAAACAAAAGTTTTGAAATAGATGATCAAAATATTTCTTCTTGGAAAAATTTCAGTAGAAAATACGATAAATAAACCGTTGTATCCTTTTATTAATATACAAACTAACGATTTTTAAAGATACCAGTATTGAAAACTTGAAAGTGATAAAAAACCGGTTTGGGGTATTTCCATTACTTTTAACATTTAAACTGGAATTTTATTATACGGAGGTAAAACACGATCTCTTACTTCTCCATTTTTAACAATACGAACAGCTTCCTTGGGAGTAAACAAAGTAAGATGAGGAAAACTGACTCCCGCACCATCAGCGAAATGAACAAATCCGCGAACTTGACTCTCCTCGTCTTCCATCAAAGCTTCGTAAGTAATAGCGTGTATCTTACACATATCTGCGTTGGTATATTTATGTGGATCAAAAACACCTATAATAAATGGATAAAAAATAAACTTTTGTTGAATAACTTGATAGATCGAAAAAGTCATAATATTATGATAGATTAACAAAAGTCTATTAATTAAAATCACAGATTTATGTACGTATGTTTGAAAACTACCTGGTCTAGCAATAACAACACGGCGACCTTTGTGATCGCGACCTGGTGCAGCGAATAGATATCTGTAATTAATAAAAATGATAAAACATATTCGATAAGGTTAGAAATGTAGGAAGACTTCTGAAGGTTCCTTAAGATTTTCCAAGCTCGTAGGATGGCAAGGCTTTATTCCTCTTCGTTGTTGATCTTACCCCAATGAAAGTAATTCCTCCATTGTTGGTTCCATTACATCCAAATGAGTAAATGCAGGATGATAAACTTGACGCAAGAGAAGGTATCGTTCGGTTGTTTCTTGAGCCATCGGTACATTAAACTTCTTACATCGTAAGAATCTCAATAAAAATCGTGCATCTAATGATAGATATATATTAGACGAGTGTGGAAATAAAAGATAAATTATTAATTAAAGGAGGTATTCTAATGTGTCTGGTGAATCAAAAATTGAATCTTTAATATCTTTGAATATTCTTGTAGTTTAGGCTTTTAAAAATGGGTCCTGAAAATTTCAAAGTGAAATTCATTAAAATAACCGAGAATCGAAAGTTTAGCAGTCACAATCCCATAGAAACTACAATTATATGAGAAACTTTAAACAACTTAACCGATCGACTTCTAATCTTGCAGATATGTAAAATACTATTTAATATTAATATTTTTTCGACCGTGAGAATTTTACACATACAAAAATTATTTGATTAAGATGCCAAGGACAGCCGCAATCAGTACGCCCGATGATAAACATTTTTCAATACATGATCTACGCAACATCTTGTAACATGTACAATTTGCGATGAAATGCTTCGAAAAAAATTGGAGATGTTAATGTCAACATTGTAGATTAAAACGTTTCTTTAAATTAAATGCCCAAAAATCATCCGGAAAACGAGTGATCACGCTAGAATACCCCCTTAAGGCTGCTAATAGAAAAGATCTGTTAAAAATAAGTCAATTTAGAATAAACTTCTCACCAAGTCGGCAATTTTTAATACGCGAGTTTAATTTTATCCAGCTACGCATTTGCTCCAGTGCCTGGTCACGCGTATTCTTATCCTCCCTGAGCTCATCCTTTGCAATTTTTTGAGTTTCTTCGGAAAGCTTGCACTCGTACTCGTCCTCTTCAGTTACCCATTCTATCGCATCACTGTCCATCTTATTTTCTGTCTTCGTTGTTTTTTGTTCGATGTATAATGATCCCTAAGATCCTACAAATTGAGTATCGTAAGGATTGGTAACACTTATCATAAGAATGGATGACGCGATGAGCTTACGCTTCGTCATTCAAGTTAACAGCAATTTCTCTCTCGTTCTCTTTAATTTCACTTTCTTTACAAACGTTTCTGACCTTATTACCTAGATTCTACTCATGCTCGAAACGAATACACACAGAAATATGACATTTTAACGGACACACAATTTCATTTTTCACAAAAAAATGAAATTTTACTTTTTTATTAAAGATTATTAAAATAGAAGTCTATTTATTAAAATAAAAGTTTAATATCACTTAAACCATGATGTAATATTAATTTAAATTGATTTTACGTTTGGATTTATTATATTTTAGAAAAAATCTATGAAGGAATCAATATTAATGCGCGAATATTTTATTATATAAAAAGTGTATTACTCCTTTTAATATAAATGGAAGTTCCTTTCTGATTGCACAATTAATTTATATTTCTGTTTTATTGTTATTTTTGAAGTAATAAAATAATATGTAATAATATTCGAAACGCTTGAACGATTAAACAACATAAACGTTTTATTTTCGTGCGTATATCCTGAAATGTTGCGTACGGTGATTGCATGTTGCAACAACTTTCTCCGATTATGTAACCTACCGGGGAGTTTAAACATCTTTGTTCCTTGGTATTAGACGTAACATGAGTAACAGATGTAAGAACCGAATGATGATCGAAAATTCCCAAAAAGAAAAAAATTGAAATCGGTGTCCTAAATCGATAAATAATTATTTTTTTAATCTGACGATTAAAAAGTAATCGACGATATTTATTAAAAACTGCATACTAATACCTATTATGAATTTCAAGAGATTTGTTTTACTCTAATACAAAATCGATCTATTTCGAAAAAATATGTGATTGTTTATCGAAGTTCCTTTATTAGAATCGTATTAACAGTTTACATCCATTTAATTGGAAAAGTGTTCATAACATGCAAACTATATGAAAATGATGATGTTATTGTTGACAATAAGGTATATACAGTATATACACCCTGTATATTAAAATGGTAGCCTGATAATGACAGCATTTCTCATCGAAATTTCACAAAAGGCAAATAGCCTATCTAAGACGCGAAGCCATAACTAATATCGATCTCTTCCGTATAGAAAGTGGAGGTTATCGGCTAGCTGACTTTTAAGATTACCTTTAGAGAGTCAATACGCTGTTACGTATGATCCTGGTAAAAGCCACCTTTTCTTCGTAATGCATTACGACTATTACGTATACGTACGATTCTATTAAATTCATCCTCTGCCATGGATAACGAGACCCGTGGTTGTTTAATTATAATGATACCATAGAATCATATAATAGTTACACGTAATAAATACAATTAGTAAAATTTCTTTCAGTGCAACAACTATTACGAGTCGGAGTTATGTCATGGCTATTTTTAATTAACCGCGAAAAAAGCTTAAGAATTTATTCTTTCTCTTCTGTTGGTTTTAATTCCAATTTTGAAGTATTTTTGTTTTTTCAAATTAAGTATAAAAATTAGTTTTCTATTTTCGATTAAATTTCTTTTTTAAGGGTAACAATAACTGAATACTTAAGTCTATACTTTTGTAAATGTTTTTGCAAAAAAACGAATGGAATTTTTCTTTAGAAAAACAAACGCGAGTATCTAAAATTGGTTGGCCATTTGTTTGTTAATCGTTCACCGAAACCTGTTTATTCAGTATATACAAAAAATGCTCGTTGAACTCGCGTTTTCTTGACTTACTTTCCCTCCGCTTCTACTTTCAATGATAACCGTTTTCCTCGACACACACACAGAGTAAACCATCAAAAAGAAATTTATAATAAAATAGGACACTTATGCCATTGTATAGAATCGGATAAATATTTCCTTACGCTACGCGCGTGCGATCTTCTAAGAGAACGAAATGCCAAATTATCATTAATTATAAGTTCAAATTACAAATATTCGCATTTTTAAATTATTCTTAATTAAAACTTTGATCAAATATAATCGTGCGCTATAAGCATAAAATTATATGATATTTTTTTATAGTTCAAACACCCAATTTTTCAATTTTGTCGATAACTTTATATTACTATTTAGGAAATTTATTAAAATACAATTATTGGCCATAAAGTATATGGACATAAAGTTTATTTCTCGCTGTATTCTTATGAAATAAGATTGATATAAATAAACGAATAATTGTGCCCATAATTATGAAAGTGGTCTAAGTCAAAATTAAAAAAAGATGAGTTTATTAGTTATTTCACACCACATTATTTTAAAACTAAATTAATTCAATGTAATTTTCACGATATTATCAAAAATGAACCGTTAGATAATGTTTATTATTTCAATATTATATAGAATTCATTTAATGTTCAAATGTAATCCTTTAAATATCTCGAAACAAGAGATATATGACTTAGATCACTTTCATAATTATGGGCACAATTATATTTTTCTCAATGTAATATAGATTTTTATCAGAGCTCTAATATCGGAAAGATTTGAAAAAGAATCTACTGAAAAATGACCATGAGCCACATTTTTTTGACTTTGAAATAATAGTCCTTCAAATTCAAGAACGTTTATTAATGAAGCCAATATAGAATATGCATATACCGAGTATTTGGGATGCATCTAACGTCGATCGCTACAGTATATTGATTTAACATTTCGTGACTAGTATCAAGAATTCGATTAAAATGAATCAGTCATATTTATTTCTATTTTTTACAAGAAATATGATGATTCAATACAATTCTCTATACAATGATTAAGTTATAATTGTTATTAAAAAACAAATCAATTTTGAAATTGTATTTTTCCCTTTGTGTTTGTTCTTGACGTGAAAATGTTATGCGAAATCGATAAAAATATAATAGAAAATATGATTGTTGAAATAAATAAAAAGTAAGAGCCTTAAATCTACACATGCTGATGAGGAAAATATTCTAAACATATAAAGGGAAAAAAAATAAAGACATACCTAGAAAGAAGCCAGTCTACGTGCTCGATGGCGACTGTTCCCCTCTGCTCGTATGATCGCTCTTTTATAATTTTCAGAGACCCCTTTCTTCCTCCTCCAGCTCAGGTACCTTGCGTCCCGCGAATGAGTAAATTTCTTCAAAGTAAATGAAAGGGGGAGAAAAAGAAAGAGAAAAAAAGAAATAGCGAGAGAATATGCTTGACCAGTTTTCAGATCTATCGTGGCCTTCTGATTTGCTCGTGACTAAAGAAATGAACGAAAATTTAAGGAATAGCATTCTTTTATAGCGGTCTGGTCGATTTACCACTCGAAATATGACACATTTCGTAATATATACCAGTTGTTCCTACGTTTTCTTTATTTTTCTGTCTAATAAATGATACGCTACCAATGCTACTCTTCTTACGAGTATATGTAATAATCCGTGATACGAAAGAAAAGAAGCATAAACACGAAAATATTGTTAGAGCAAAGAAAAGATGAGAATAACAATTGTAATTTTATTGTTTGATCGTTCCGTCACGTACAATAAAAAAAATATTTCGTAAAATATTACACACATTAAAATGGAATTTCTGGCAAAGGCGACATAACCAACCCAAGTTGTAGCTCGTTATGTAATGTGAATCAAATTCAAAATAACAGGAAGTTATACATTACCCAGATAAGATTATGGAAATTCGTGCCTTTTACAAAATTATATTGATTTGATCTTTGCGTTGATTATTAATCATTCTGTTTAATTAAATATTATTATGTATAATATTTAGTGCATTAAATTGTCAATACTTTGAAAAGGAACTTCCAAGGGAAGGCATTACTGTGTTCGTTTGCAATAATATTATACAATAAATTTCAATTCACAAATTAAATCGCACGATGAAAGTGTAAGAGTAATTGTACGTGCACGACATTGTATTATTTTTTTCTCAAATTGTAAAACGCAATCTCGTGGAGAAATATAGTCTGAGTGAAATGCGAGTAATGACTATAAGAAAGTTTTATGAGAAGGAAGAGAAGGGAAAGATGTATTACGTGCGCGATAGGGCTTTAACCGACATCGAGCTCGTTGCGTGTATGTATTTTTAATGATATATATATATATATATATATAGGCGAGACATTTTGTCATTCTTTCTTTTCCATTTATAATTGGTAATGTTTTATTTTTTATTATAATCAGCAAGTATAAAATATAATGTTTAAATACACGGTTTCGTACAACATTCTTTCAACATAAAAATAAAAGCTAGACTTTCTGACACAACATTTCTTATCATGTTTGTTTTTTATAATGAATTTGTCTGTTATAAAAACTAGTTGAGACTTAGTGTGAAAAACAATGTAAGAAAGGAACTTGATAGTTTTTAATTATAACAACATAATATTAATTTAGTAGAAGATAATAACGAAGTATCACATTACATTTTGTTTTTTAATTAGTCTTCTTTTTTAGCTGTTTAAAAGATAATCTTGTTAATATGATATGAGTTGATAGATTGTTTAAATATTATTCTCTACCAATAATTTGAACCTTTGCGTAAGCGCCTTTACAACCGCTATTAGATAACAATAAACTTTTTTTTACTTCTAATATTTGATCTTCTCTAAGTTTTAGATGACTATCTTCCATCGCTTGTATTATGCATTTCTCCAAGGCTTCTTCATTTAAAAGATTATATCCAAATATGTTTACATCATAGTCTATTTTGGAAAATAAAACAGTAATATTTTTAATATTTGCTTCTAATTTGATTGTACGTTTTAAATTGCGATCCATTTTCTCCATGTTAATCGCCGCTAATACAGTAATACAAGTATTCTTAAGTTTCAATATGTTACTTGAAAGTTTTAAAGTATCCGAAATATCATTTTCTCTTAAATTTTCTAGAACAATTAAATTACAATAATAGGATGAGATCTCGTTTACGTCAATCTTATTTAAAGGTGGAGTATATTGTATAATTTTATTATGATTCGGAAAATTTCTTCTTATGATGTCAATAGTATAAGATTTTCCTACTCCAGTACTTCCTATAAGTACTGCGAGCCTTGTGCAGGTATTGTATGTTTCTAGAAATTCAATTAAAGATGATATAACTTTATTTTGACCATAAATTTTTTTTCCTAATTCAATACTAGCGTTGGAAAAATGTGACTTATGATCGCAAACAAATTTTACATCTTTTTCTGGATTTAACAAAATAGCTATTAAAAATATAATTATTGGTACTAATATAAAAAATGTAACTTTATAGAAAAAGTGCAAAGAATTCTTATCTTTCATCGAAATGGACGATGCAAGAGGACGAACTTTCTTCTTTATTTCTTCATATGATTTTTTCTCAGAACTGGCATTGGAATTCTGTATTTTTTCAGTCATAGTTTCCAGTGACTCTGCTTCTACAGGATTAATCAAATTGGCAGTATCATTGTTTTCATTATTATGATCCGACACATCCATTTTATCTACTTCCATGTACTCTATTTGATTCTGCTGCTGCATGTTTGTTTTAGGTACATCGAACACAGGTCCAAGTGAATTCCAATCCATACATTCTGATTTACTATTGATACGTGGAATGGTATTTTCCCAGGTTTTTCTATGCTCATTTTTATCTGATGATAATCTTTCGGATATTTTTAATTGCCTGTAAATAAATCATAAGCGTATATGAATGTTATTCAAACAACAATTTTTACGAATGCTTTTTACCTGACACAGTTAGTTCTATCAACTATCTGCTCGCAACTGTATTGTCTCACTAAATTAGGTGATCCCAGACCTTGATAGTATTCTTCAATTAATATCTTCCTACTTGCAGATGGTAGATCAGAAAAACTAGCTGCTCTCGTCAATTTATTCTCACCTTCATCGTCTAAAATTTTTAAAGCCGCAAAGTGCTTTTCCATTACATCAAGTAAAGTTTCAAAACTTTCCTACAAAAACAAATCACAAATCTTAACCTTCAAATCGTTTATTAGTTTTTCACTTCATTCTTACTTCACTCATTTGGATCCTCAAAAATTGATGTATTTACTTTGGAAAAATATTTAGCAACATTCTTTTACCTGTTGTTATTCTTTGGCAAAGAAAACGCACTGTTCTATAAATAAACGAAACAATAGAAAATTTTTGTCATGTAAAGCACATTACAGATATCAACGAGGTTTATAAAAATTTAGTGAAAAAAAAGAAAAAAAATTAGAGTTTAAAAAGCGCGCATGCGCAATTCAATTCGCGCATTCCGCTCATTCTAATTGTCCAGTTCCGATAGTTTCCCACGTTCCAAAGTCAGAGCAGTCTTTCGTGTATTCTTGAGCGCGTGTACTGAGTTGTTCAGATTAGGTAACGAATATTACGTGATGTGACATTTCTATGATCACAAACAACTCAAAAATGTATTTGCAAAGTTTTTTCACCTCGTGCTTCTGGACTTTATTAACAATTACAGTGGTTACGGCTAGGATCCATAAACTTGAAATACGGGTTAGTATCGTGTAAAGGATATCTCGCTTTTCATGACCTTTTTTTTCTTCCTCTCTCTTTTTCCCCTCTTACCTCTCTCTCTCTCTCCCTCTGTCTATCTTTTTCTCTAATTCTTTCTTCTCTCGATTGATATAATATAGATTAGTTGAAATAATGATACATTACCGTAATGATCGTGCAATATCATGGATGAATAGGTGTGTTACATCGATATCTTTCTCTTCTATATATGCGAAACATATATCTTATATACATATGCGTATAATATGTAGTACACAGTAGCGTGACATACGTAATACATGTATGGAAACGCCTTTAGCATCAATTCATTTACGCAATCGACAATGAATCATAAACATTTTGCAGCTATATGTAAAGAATATTTTTCGAATAAAATAATTTAAACTCTACTTATATAAATGACATCAAGTTAAATGCTATGAAATATGTGTTCGTGTATGTGAGTGAGTGTTTGTCAAGCCAAATGTGTGGAAGCATTGATTATCACATATTTTTGTTTTTTTCTTTTTGCAGAAAGACACTAGGCGATATATTTCTCTCAGTACTTTTGGTTTTTATAAGGATGGTATTCTTAACGTCAGTCTTACGAATTTCAAAGCCGATCCTTCCGACAAAAATGCAGTGGTAAGTTATACACAACGCCATTATTTAGTACAGAGGCACAGCCACCTGTTTGTCTTCTCCTTTCATCCTAATTTGTCAACTTATTGTCACAACAAATATAAATGTATAGTTTTTCAATGATATCATAGTTTGGATGATATAAAATTAACAATGATATGTATTCTTTCATATTTGTGAGCATTGTCAGTGCATATATTCTGCGATATATATCTATGTATTAATGTTTAAGCAAAACTTTCTTTATTCGGACTTCAGTTTGGATTCAGTTTGGACCGGACACTCAGCGACGCAGTGAATCCTTATTTAGATAGTCATCAAGAAAGATGCGTGCTTCAAAACTTGTCCAATCCCAAAACAGAGCTGGAGAAGAAGGATAATAGTAGTGTCATATACTTTATAATGGATTTGAATAATTTGTTGTAAGTAAAAGTATTACATCTATAACGAAAGAACTTTATCGATAAGTATTTTTTTTTTTTTAGATTAAAGATAAACTGCAGTCGCAACATACATACCGTTCATATATATAAAGACTCCAGTTTAATACCAAATTTCAGGATAAAAAGAAATTCATTGCCAACAAAATTTAGTGATACAGCTCTATTTCCTAGAAGGAAACGTAACACATCTATGCACGGTAAGTGATTCATTTTGTTCAAACATTAAATTAAACTTGTAGTTTTCTATTTTTATATGATGCGTACACTATCATTGCTAATTTTAGAATTACAGTTAAACTACATTTATTACCAACAGATGAAATCGGTGATTTGGCAATCTCTTCATAATTGCGATATTTGTTTTGCCTCAGACGGTTGATTATTAATATTCTATCCATTAGATAAAGTGCCAAATTTCAAGGAAATGCATTATTTCGAATATTCTAAACAGCGCGTTGAATACTTTAATTATTTATTCATTTAAAATATTTTTAATGTAGATAATACTTGAAGATATTGTTGGAATCGTATTTAAATATTTCCATTAAAGAGACTTTTTCTTATAATTCAAATTGGTGAGCATTTATAATGAATCCTTGAGCAATAATCAATGATAGATTAAAATAATTTGTGCCTTTAGGCAACTGACCAAATTTAAAAAGGAAATATTTTATGAATGTATTAGTATCTATGTTTGTCTCTCTTTTTCTCGCTCTGTCTCTCTCTCTCTCTCTCTCTATATATATATATATAT